TTCTGTCCCGGCTCCCTCGTGTCGGCCCTCCTAAAGGAAAAGTGATGATTTCATCTATTTTAAGAGTGGTTGTGATTCTCATATGAGCGGGTCTATTTTGAGCAATGGTTCAAAGAGTAGAAGACAAAGGAGTTGGCGACTGTTCAGCCTTCCTCTTAATCTTCTTGCATTATCTGACAGTTTTATTGTCAAGACTTTTATTGACAAAAGTAATAAAGAGAATAAAAAACAAAGCACCAGTTTTAGCTTTTAGTCCTTTGGGAGAACATTTTTAAGTATCTTTTGAATGTATATGTAAAAAGCTTTCTAATTACTTACTTTATGTGAACCCAAAACAAAACTTGGTAGGAAAGTTGGATCAAGTAAATAATACTGTTACGATTAGGTTGACATTTTGAACAATCAGTTGAGGCCCTATGTCCACCAAGCGTTATATCCTGGCAGAAAAGTTCTGGTTGTACGCTCAGGAGTGTTTGCATGAAGCGTTTCTGCGCTGAGAAAAAAGCGCTGCACGTCCGTCCTGTCTCCATGACAACAGTCGGTTAACAACGGCCGCTGTATGACAGACACTGCTCGGTTACTTTTTACTCCATGTTTTATATTTCAGATCCTTTTTTTTTTCTGATCAAAAGAGGATGTGGGTACAAGACACGATCTGTTGGAGGCTAAAATACGGGGGAATATCTTATCTTTGGAAAAGAAAGCCGGTGACGTCAACAGCACCTTTCTAAAATGTTGAAAGATTTTCAACTTCAGCCTCACAGCGCTTGGAAAAAAAGACGCTGGGCGCTGTGCTTTTTCTACTTTTTGCCGCCTCCTGCTGCAGACGCTCGTGCTTAGAAAGAAAAGGCAAAGTGGACACGGGGCCTTTGGCAACAAAACGATCTGATGACGAAACAGAGGGTGGGCCAATGTATCCCCCCATTTCATCGTCACAACATTTAGATCAAGGCCTAACGTCACAGGGACGTACATATTGCGCCTTGAAACAGCAGTCTGAACAGGGCTGTAGTCTTGCTTGTGGGTTGGCACTTGGGGAGGGGGCAATGAGATTCCAAGTGGGGCCCATATCACTCCTAGCCACCCCTCTGGACCTGCCCCTGAAACACACCGCCCCTCACATGACAACTGTAGGCCCATTTACCCAAACTTAGCTTGATGAGCAGTTTAAGGGATATGAGTTTGGAGACCACTAATTAAGTTATGAAAACATTCATTTATTAAAATTACAGGGGGAACATGCTCTTTATGATCCACTTGCTTCGGGGAACACTCAGCCTTGATCGGTCACCTACAAGGTTAATTCATTTAATTCCTCAAGCTGCAATAAACACAAAATGTAGTCACCACCAACAAATCTTCTCTCTCTCTGTCTCTCTGTCTCTCTCTGTGTGTCTCTCTCTCTCTCTCTGTCTCTCTGTCTCTCTCTGTGTGTCTCTCTCTCTCTCTGTCTCTCTGTCTCTCTCTCTCTCTCTCTGTCTCTGTCTCTGTCTCTCTCTCTCTCTCTCTCTGACTCTCTCTCTGTCTCTCTCTCTCTCTCTCTGTCTCTCTCTCTGTCTCTCTCGCTCTCTCTCTCTGTCTCTCTCTCTGTCTCTCTCTCTCTGTCTCTCTCGCTCTCTCTCTCTGTCTCTCTCTCTCTCTCTCTCTGTCTCTCTCTCTCTGTCTCTCTCTCTCTCTCTCTGTCTCTCTCTCTCTCTCTCTCGCTCTCTCTGTGTCTCTCTCTCTCTCTCTCTCTTTCTCTCTCTCTCTCCCTCTCTTGGCACCACTGTCCATGCCTACAGTCACTCTGGTGATTTCATGGCTCTTAACCAAACACAAAGACTCCATTATGGCTCCGGACGCCCAAATAAAACTCTCTCCTATATTCCTTCTCTTTTTCTCACTTGTCTTCTTGCTCTTCCTCCCCCGCTCTTCCTCCTCCTTACATTCAAACTTTCACCCACATCTCTCAGATAAAACGTGTTTTCTATTTCATTACCTCATTCTGGCATTGGGAGAAGGGAAAGGAGTTGGGAAATAAGGAAGGAAGGAAGGAAGGAAGGAAGGAAGGAAGGAAGGAAGATGAGAGAAGGAAGTAGGAAGGTGTGTGTTTGTTTGTAATTATTTTCCCACTAATTAGGCCTTGTCGCTTGTCGTCCCTCGCCCCCTTCCTCGCCCTTTGAAGTCTCCTCCTCTAGACTACCCATCATGCACTTGGGAGGCATCTATGAGGTGGCAAGAGGAATGGGGTTGTCAGGAATGTGGGTCAAAAAATGTGTGTGTAAGAGAATTTCTGGAGATGCTGATGATGAAAAAAAGAGAAAGACAGTAAAGGGGGGGGGGTCTCGGTTTCCCCCCCTGTGTCTCTCCATCTTTGGCAGACTGCTTGTTCTGCTCTTAATGTTTGATCTCCCCCCTCACACACACATCAGTCATATGTGCCAGATGCTGTACTCTCAATCTCAATCTCAACACACACACACACACACACACACACACACACACACACACACACACACACACACACACACACACACACACACACACACTCACATCACATGAGTCCTTTGTTTTGGTTTGCTGCAAAGATAAAACCCGGCTCTGTTACACTCCTCTACAAAGGACACAAAGAGCGCTTATCTCACATACAGTGAGTGTGTGTGTGTGTGTGTGAGAGGGAGAGAATGTCTGCATGTGTTTGTGCGAGTGCTTCTCTAATGCAGTCATTTTATTTTTGCATTTTTTACGAGCGGGATTTTGAGCCTCATTAGCTGGAATTTTATTTCTCTTTTCCCCATTACGGGACTGGAGGATAGCTGTGTGTGTGTGTGTGTGTGTGTGTGTGTGTGTGTGTGTGTGTGTGTGTGTGTGTGTGCGTGTGTGCGTGTGTGCGTGTGTGCGTGTGTGCGTGTGTGCGTGTGTGCGCGTGTGTGCGTGTGTGTGTGTGTGCGTGCGTGCGTGCGCGCGTGCGCGCGTATGAGTTCGATGTGGAGTCATCAGATGTGGATACGGCCAACAGGGCCAGCATGACACACTTCCCCCTTCAAAGTGGGCTAATCACACGCAAGTCAATAGACAATACAACAAACCCACTTTGCAGAACAGCTAAACATTTAATTCAAGGTAACGAACATACAGAAATCCCCTCTATTTAAAATGTGAATTTACTTGTAATTAAAGAACCAATTTAGATATTTACTGAATTAAATCATGAAATTAAATTAAGTTACTTTATCATCAGACATTAAGGGTTGAAGTGGTTTAGTCATTTTAAATTAATTTAGATATTTTGTCCCGAAAAAGTCAACTAAAAGTCAAATCAGCGGCTCGTTCCAGACCTACAATCATATCCTTCATTAGCGAATAGAAATTATTTTCCTATGTCATCATTTCCATTTTTTATACCCTCTCATTGCATGTTTCCATAAATGTTGAGCTCGCTGATTAATTCTTGGATTTGGAAACTGCGGCTTCCTCCGAGTTAAAAGAGTTATTCATTATGTTTTTGCATCATCGCTTCAAATAGCCTTTGGGGTCACAATTTCCATAAAGCAACATGGTTTGTTCGAAGAAATCACTTTAATATCTTCATGCATTCCAAGGCATTCATTAGTGAGAATAAAAAGTAGAATATGATGTTTGTAGTCGAACTGGCTGCGTATTGAAAGTCTGATAGCACTAAGAGACTTTTCATTCACACTGAGGCTTTTAACACGTTCTACAAACTGTTATTCAATTCAGTTTAGACGGGCTGCCGAGTGCTCTTACAAGCCTCTGAACTGAGTATAAGAAACGATATGCCTGCAGAGCAGTTCATATTTTATGAATTGTAACCTTTTAATTAATAATTTCCCTGTCTGATAGCCTGTTGGGCCCTAATTAGACCAACTGCATCCAGCTGAGAGGAAAGCCAGGTCAGATCCTCCTTTCACATGCACCCACACAGACATGCAATGTGTTGTGTAGTCCTTCAGTGTGTGTGTGTGTGTGTGTGTGTGTGTGTGAGTGAGTGCATGTTCAAGAGTACAGAATCTGATGAACAGGTTGTGTTCTGTTGTGTGTTTGGTGTGAGCTCGCGGTCAAACGCCCCGACACTGATTGATGAAGCGATTCTTGCCACACAGTATCACAAATTACAAATTGCTGAGGGGTGTGTGTGTGTGTGTGTGTGTGTGTGTGTGTGGAGGGGGGGGGGTAAAGGCAGGTGGGCAGATGGTGTCCTATGAGGACGTGGCGGGCTAACGACCTTGAGAGAGACCCGTAGCGACAAAAAAAAAAAAAAGGAAGACAGAGAGATGGTGACGACAGGGGTAAGTTTGTTTTGTGGCGAGGGTAGGGCCGGATGGGCGGGGCATTTTTGCTCCTGCTCCCTTACAGCATTTCCTCCACTGACCCAACATGCACTTTACTCTCTCTCTCTCTCTCTCTCTCTCTCTCTCTCTCTCTCTCTCTCTCTCTCTCGCTCTCTAACACACACACACTTGCAGTGGGCGTCAGCACAGCGACACAATGAGCAGAGACTGGCCTGAGGCACATTGAGCAAGGTGTTTCCTGCGACCTGGGCGACTGCTGCGTCAACACAAACACACACGTCTGGGGCAACACTCCACATGCGTTCGCAGATGCGCGTGGTCATGTGACTGCCGACTGATTTGACTCTGTCCCCTTTCAATTAGGGCTCATTAATCTGTGTATGTAAACGTGAGCACGTGTGTGTGTGTCAGTGAAAACAGCTGTACTCAAGACTTGGGATACTCATCCTTTATTCATGCCTTGTTCATGCTTTATTCATTCGCTGTTCGAGCATTTGCCGAATGGATGAATATTGGATTAAAAGCAGCTCTATGTTATTCATGAGCGGAGATATTTTGGACTGTGCCTCTGGAATCTCGTGCACACACAGACGCACACATCAACAAAACAACAACAAACAATTGTCTTAATGCGGCCCGCATTTGACTCCTTATGTATCTCTCCGCTGCTGATTAATTAACGTTGACTTGTTTGTGCCTCACCCTCAGGCCCTGCACTGCCCTGCCATGGAAAAGATGAAGAGGATTAAGAAGCGTCTGTCCTTAACGCTCCGCTCCAGTCAGACCATCGACGAGTCCTTGTCCGAACTGGCCGAGCAGATGACCATGGAGGACGGCGGCACCAAGGACAACGGTAAAAAACTAAAACACATTTAAGCAATATCTTTGGATAATATAACAACAGCATTGACTCATCAAGTCAGATAGAAATAAACTTTCAGAAACTAGGTAACTCGTACTAGACAGGATTTTTGCACTCAGACCCGTGTCCATTAAGGCTGTAAGGTGATGGCTGCGCCTACTTTCTATACAAAACCATTGCAGGTTAACGTTCTCAACTATCAACGTCCAAAGTGTTAGAACGCACTCAGCATCAGCTTGTCCCCCCCCTCCCCCCTCCCTCTCTGCTGTCCTCACAGTGCTCTCAGTTGACAACAGTTCAACTTCTGGATCCTGCTGCAACCCTCGCCAATGTCACGTCTCCCTAACCGACCAATCAAAATCAAGAAAGGGCCGAACATTTTTATCATATTTGTCAGCAACTTTTTTTTTTTGGAGGTACAATTTCCAGATTTATAACCACTGCTTGTACCAGCACAGGACATCTTTATGTTGTTTTAATCTTCTTTTGGTTAGCATACAAAGCTACTTAAAAAAGACCTTACAGTCACTACTGAGGGAAGCAGAAGGGCCATGAGCCAACTCTCTTAAGCGAGTGACGCTGAGAGGCGCTCTGAAATTGAGGTTGTCAGTGCCACCAGCGGCAATATTTCATTAAAGGACAAATATTCAGCCGTGTTCTGTATAAAACTATGGAGGGTCGGGGTTGTTAATGCTGCTGTGCCATCTTTAAGCAGGCAGATGGTTTAACAGCTGAGCAGAATTAAAATGTGTACACATAAGGTGATTGGCAACAGTTAGCAGTTACCTGGAAAAAGTTAGCGGCCTAAAAACAGAAACTGTAGAAACTAACTTGGGAGCCAAACAGATCCTGGAGGTCTTCATAGAAAGCAATGTGACTGCCTGAAGAGTGCGTCATACATCACACAAGAATCAGAACCCCCAGGGGGGAAATAGAAAGGAGCATCTTTTGAGTCGATAAAGTCAGTTTTTCTGCTCTTTGTTAAAAATGTGTGTGAAATACTTTTCAATGAAGGTCACATCCAAGCTTTTAAAAATCAATAAAATGGTTGTGGAGAATCAGTGCCACAGTCCTCAATGGGGAAGGCAATTCCAAGGGTCCGATTTTGACGATGCTTTCCTGTTCATATCTGTCAGCGGGCGTTTAAACACACACACAGCTTTCAGTCTCATGGTGTCTGTCAGGGGTTTATAAATGATGAAGCACTGTAGTTGATGAAGAGAGAGTGCAGCCTGAGTCAGTGAGAGCTGTAATGGACTTACAGTGCGCAGCTCTCTATCAACTTATGTAACAGGGGGCAACTTGAACACACACACACACACACACACACACACACACACACACACACACACATGCACACTCTCTCACTCAAATGCACTCAAATAGCAGCTTAGCAGGCGAGAAGGTAACATATCAGGAACAAGCATTCACAGACGGGCAAACACACTTTTCTTGACATCTCTTTGTTACGTAACGTTCTGCCTGTTTTGGCTTCAGTAAGCTCTCAGTGTGAGAGCCACATGAAGAAGAAAGGCGACCGTTTTTGATTAAGAGCTGCCAGAATCGAATGGACAAGCATATCAGTCTTTTTGAGAAAGACTCAGTTATTTGCTCACAGCAGAAAAATTAAATATAAGTTTCAGGGTTATCAAAAACTACAGGTAGGCTGCAGTATTAGGCTCTGTGTACACCTAGCTTTTTTTTCTGGGAAAACCAGTTTTTTTCAGTTGTTTCAGTGAGTAGAGAGGGATTGCAGCAGAAAGCGACTGACGGGAGAAAAAGCGCAGCGCCCATCATCTGTTTTCCAAGCGCTCTGCCTTTTTGTGCGGCCTCTCCGAGCACTCCAGTTGAAAAATGTGTCAGAAAGGCGCTGTTGGCGCTTCTTCGCTCTGTTCCAAATGTATAACATTCCCTGTAGTTTTGCCGCCTACAGATCTGTTGTCATTCAAGGAAGACGGACATTCAGCGCTTTTTTTTTCTCAGAGCACAAACGCTTCATGCAGTCAGTGGATACGGGCCGTAGAGGTCAGAGGTCATCATAACCTATTTTTTATTCACGTTTAAAGAGGACATATTCTCCTCCTTCTCCACCTTTTCAAACAGTCCCCCTGTGGTCTAATTGAAACATCTGTGCTGTGCTTTGTTCAAAATATAACATGAATCAAGCACCAGAGGAGGTTTGTGACCCTGTATAAACCAGCTCTCTCAGAACGCTCCGTTTTGGTGTGTGTCTCTTTAAATGTAATGACCCCCCCTGAGTTTTTCCCAGTAGACATAACTCCTCTGTAGAGAGAATAAAAATGGCAGACCTGTGCAAAATTTTGCACTAGGCTGGGGATGAAGTCCATGGGTGGAGATACCAGGGGAGGGGAGGGGATTTTTTTTTTTTTTTACTAGAATCCCACTGTGACATCACAAGGAGAGCACATTTGAAACAGAGCATTTTTCTCTGCGTTGTAAGACTTGCAGACCACAAACAAAGGACTGGATGGGTTTATTTCACATTTTGTGGGTCAGTAGACACTCAGGTTACCAAATATATGTTCAAAAACACTGTCAAAGTGGATTTTTCTTAATATGTGCCCTTTAAATAACTCACTCAGCCATTTAAAGGGACAGTTCATAATTTGGGGAATATTATATCTTTCATCCAGCAGCTATTCAGCTTAGCTCTGTACAAAGCCTAAAACTACTATTATGTATTAAAGCTTCTGGAAATTTGACTTTGATTATTATAAAAAAAACATGTGATTTTTACATTTCATTTAATTTAATTTGATATATGAATAAGCATCAACAGAAATCTTTTTTTTTTACCATTCCTCAGGACTGTGTGGGCGTGGCAGCTCATATATTGATTGACATATGTAAACGATTTTCCCTTTGTGTTTAGCTCCTGCTCTCTCTAGCTTCATGTTGAACATACAGACCTCGCATTTCACATAACGGCCAACAAATTCCATATCACCAAAGCTTCTAGAAGTCGATATAAGTGTAGATTTTTTCAATGATCCAATAACACTGAAACTGTGACATGAGAAACATTGATTGTATAGCTTTCTTGTCAGTTGCTGAGAAAGTTTCTATACTCTGCTCGTGCAAATCTCAACAAGTCCTGACAACTTTACCTCCTAATTAACATAATTCATGCTCAACTTGTATTTCATGTGTGTCAGACAAGCACCCGAAGGCAGCATGGTGTTAATTTTGGAAGTCGACATGTGGAAACACAACAGCACAGTCTCCCAGCGCAGGGTTTAAAAGGTTGGATGAACTAAAGAAAGCTGGCGGGAGCAGAAAGATAAACCCACAGAACAAATGTGACAGACTTCTGGTCTGTCTGATGCACATCAGAGTGGAGCTTTATGACCTTTTTGTTCGGGTTCAGCTGAACTCTGGCTGTCGCTCTGCCCGCAGGGAGCGCACAGGGCTGTAATATTTGCTTACTGGGTTTCCTTGCCAACTAGAATGGAAATTTGATTTCTCATAAAGGCTTGTGAGACTCATGTGTAGTTATTGATTAACATCATTTCCCTTTGGCTACCAATTTTCCAGCAATATAGCTGTTTACTTTTCCCTTCTCCAGCTGTCTGCCCCCAGCTCTGAGTTCTTCATTCTGACTGCTGGTTTTGATTTTTCGACACTATACATTGCCTGATATCTAGTGATGTAAAAACATCTGTAATGGGAGACTTTCTTCTTCTTTTTTGGGGAGGAAATAGATGACAGCTCTGATGTCACTCTCATGTCTGTTGGATGAATTAAAGGCTACAACCAGGAGCCGGTTAACGTCACTCACCAAAAGTCTAGCCATAGGGGGAAATATTTAGCCATGCTATGCTAAAGCTAACAAAATTTCAGAAGAGCACGGCGTGTTAGGAATGAGTGGAGCTAATTTTGACCACTGGTGGTCTCTTCTTACCGTATTTACGGCAAACGCCACCCACTACTCGCTACTAGTGTACCATTTAGTACACTCAAAAGAGAATTTGACATTTTGTAGTGCTGTCTGATTCTGAACTACTTGTGAGAATAAATGTACTCATGGTATCCCAGAATGCATTGTGAAAAGTAGTGTGCAACCAATGGCCACCAACCAAGCAATCTATCCCATCATTCATTGCAAAGGAAACGTGTAGACAGACGAGGGGAATGCAACAAGCATGTCACAGAAATGACGTCATTATCGGCGTGCATGCTTGTTGTTGGACAGAGGATTGTTTCTGTACCAAGTATTGCGCTTTTTAATCAGACGTAAATTTGTCAGGTAACTTTGGAGAATATTTGAAACCTTGTTACAATTTTCCATGCACGTTTCTCCATGTTAAGCTGATGTTTTTGTGTTTTTTTAAAAGGTTAAATGGCTAAAACAGGGCTTTGCTGCACAGGTTACTTATCAAATGAAGAACAGCCTTAAAGCCAAGAAAAAAGATAAAAGCTTGTGCACTGATTGCCTAGCAGTTTGGTTGCGTCCCATGTACAGAGGCTGTAGTCCTGCAAGCGGGCGACCCGGGTTCAAGTCTGACCTGCGGCTCCTTTCCCGCATGCCATTTCCCACTGACTCTCTGAAGAGTAGTAGTGCCTGCTGTGGGTTTTAAAAAGCCTCTGTTGATCTGCAGAACATGTGAAAAAATTACGACAGCTGTTGTTTTTTTTGTGCGTTTCAGAGCCCTTCATGAGGAACGGCCGCCCCCCCACCTCCCACAGCATGCACTCCTTCCTGCACCAGTACACTGGCTCCTTCAAGAAGCCGCCCCTCCGACGACCACACAGCGTCATCGGTGGCTCCCTCGGGTCCTTCATGGCAATGCCACGCAACGGCAGTCGCCTGGGTGAGACATACACACATGTTCACACACACACACAAAAGGAAGGAAGTGAGTAGCGGGAGAGCAGATGGCATTCAGGAACAAACAGGAAACGTGTCACGTTCTTGATATTTCCATTCTGCTCCTTACATTCACAAACACTTTTGGCCAAAGGCGCCGGGTATCTTTGCTGTGAGGCAGCTCCTCTCCTCGCCCTCAGCTGAGCTGTTTTCACACACCCAGCTGGATGGGGGATTCAGTGAAACATGACGCAGTGTCTTGTGTGAACTGATTCATCATACTCGTTCTGAGTCTCACCCCAAGGGTTTGAATGAAAGTTGATGCCGGGATGATTCAAAGCTGCAGCAGATATGAAGCTGGGGGGGTCGGGACAGTCCGGAGGGGTGATGAGATGATTCAGGGGACAATATGAGACACAGGAACAGCGTGTTGTGTTTATGAACATGCACTAGCTTGAAGGCTTTTTGAGCATGTAGCCAAGCAAGTTTTCAGGATGTGACAGGATGGGGTCACAGTTACATTTACAGTTAATGAAATGTGAAAGTGCAGCAACTTACTTATCAAAAAGCAGCAAGTCCTTCTTCTTTTCTTCCTTCAAGGAAGACATGCCATACATTAAAATTAAAAGGCAGGGTTTGTCATTTTCACCAGATACACTTTTCATGATTTTGGTTTTAATTGTCTTTAGGTAGCGTGATAATAACTTTCATGAAGATACCGGGTTTTATAAAGAGATTATCTGATGTACATTTTGATTTTACAGTTTGTTATCTGTTACCATTGAGGAGGCGGGGTTTATGACCTGTACTGCAGCCGGTCAGCAGGGGGAGCTCTAAATATTATGGCTTCACTCCTAGGCAGCTGTTGCTCTGTTCATACTGTATATACAGTCTATGGTTCAACGTTAGACATAACACACCCAGTAATCACAACTGAAACAGAAACAATTATATAACTGGAAGTTTGACTAACTTCTTCTGTTGACGGGTTCAATTATAAAAAATGCATTTCTTTATGTTATCTTTTACAAAAGTCTTACAAAAAATAGTGAACGCTCTCTCAGTACACACTTTATTTACCTTTCTGTGTTATGTGACTTTTCAAGTGATATTGTTGTCATCTTCTAGATGGATTGACAAAAAAGTGTAGTTCATACATTTATGGTTTAAATATGATGAATCCCAATGACCTCTGACCTTTCCAGTGGAGGCCCCAGGAGATTAACATTTGTGTTTGGAGTGAAAGGTTTCTGAAGCTTTTTCATGGATTGCCATGAATTTAAATCAGACATTTATGCCCTCTTCAGAATGAAATGGAATGACTCATCAGGTCAAAATTTTTATTTTGTCTAGTACTTTGGGAAAAAAACAAGGATAACCAAGTTCCACATGATGCTTTTAGTGCTGGTTGAGAAATGTTAGCATGCTTTGAGGCTACTAAAATTATTACATATTCGCTTAAGACTCATACTCTCGTTATCATTGTCAAATTGTAGCACTTTCTGAGTGTTTGATAAATGTTTTCATGTACGAGTTCTAACACAGATTCATTCCTTTTTTTTCACAGCCTTCATGAGCAGTAACATAGCCTTGCACTAGACAAACACTGAATGACTGAATGTTTCCCCTCATTACCAAGCAGGAATCAGACGCATCTGTAAAAACAGACTGTAGACAGTTTGCACATATGTAGTCCTGAAAATATCTAGATCATTTCAGGAGTACTGCTCCTAAAATTCTCCTGAGCTGGTCGTTCACATATGCACCTCACAGCAGCAGGGGACTGTATCCCTGTAGGACTGGAGGGGGGGTGGGGGGTGGGGCTTTACTGAGGCATGACATGATGTAAAAAAAACAACGCAGAAGTGTCTGACGAGCAAGAGTTCACTATATATACAATACTAGGTGTATTTCAACTGAATTACAATGTAAACAACAGAGTGGAGAAGAATATACTTCTGATCAGAAAACATAATGCAGCAGTTTAATCACGTGAGATCGTAGTGGTCGGGTGCATACAGTCTATGCACCATGTATCTGTGTCAGTATATAAATGTCACCACCCTCTTCCACTGGCTCGAGGTGAATTCTCCGGATAATATTCTTCTGCGTTCTCACATCAGCTCACACCGACTTTTTGCAGCAAAAATACTAGGGGGCTGACAGGAGAAACTCCAGATAAGGTCCAAGTGAAAATTTGGCTGTTTGCGCTCCCACACGCTGCTCCTCAGGTCAATTGTCTGCAAGTGCATTAACCAAGTTTTCCAATTAAGATAATCTCTTTGGAATGAATTGATGTTTCTCATTTCAATGTAGCATGTAGCAATGAGCCACAGCTCAGTTCGGTGGATGTAACACCAGAGTAACTATTGAGCCTCACTTTGGACCTTGGCCTAGATAGAGGGACTTGGATCTAAAAACAGGACATTTAAGTAGGACATTGATGTCCCACATACTGCTGCTGCTCTTATGTGTGCTTATTAGGAAAGACAGTACAGAGTCGGATAAGTAGAAAGAGAGATTGATCAAAAGGTCTCAACACAAGAGGGGGAAAAGAGTGTTAGGAGACGAGAGAGATGCAAAAAAAAAAAAATGGGTTGAGGATAAAATATGTCAAGGTTCTTTTAGAAAGTGGAAGAAGAGAGATAAAAAAAAGAAGATAAATGTAAAGCAAAAACTGCGTGGGAAGTTTACAAAAAAACCTTAAGGGTGTTTTGAAGAGAAGAAATCAAGTTAGCTGAGGTAGTGGAAGTGAAAATATTGTTGTGTGAGAAAGACTTCTGAGTTTTGTTAGAGTGTGAGGAAAGATATGAAATACCAGGAGATAATGTGGAGAGGTATGTGAAAGTAAAAGGAGGTTGAACGGGGGGAAAGTGGGACAGATGAGATCATTTGGAGGCTTCGGAGAGGAGGCACACGAGTTTGAAAAATGCAGGTAGTGAAGGAATGTGTTAAAGCAACAGAGGGAGTGTGCCTGTGAAAACCTCTCAAGAAGAGAGAAAAACAAGATTGAAGCAAAGCAGGAACATGAAGAGTGAAAATGGGAGTCAGAGGAACTGACAAGAGGTTTTTTTTGAAGTTGGGCAAGAAACATGTTAATGAGCCAGAAGTGACGGGGAAAGGGAACAGAGATCATTTAGAAATCTTCAAAGAGGAAAGTTGAAGGGGAGAAAAGTGGGGGGAAGAGTGAAGTGTTTGCAGGATGTTTATGAAGAATGTGTAAGTAGGTTAGGAGGAGATGAGGGTTTCACTTCTAGGGAAGACAGATAGGAAGTGGAAGAACTTTCTAAACTGTGTCAAAGTCGGGATTTAATCTTATTGTTTGTCAAAGCATTCGTAGAAACATTTCCCTGTGCACATTCTTTTCATTCATCAAACATGCTCACTCACATCTTTATTCACTAAAACATGATACATCTTTTTATGCTCTACATCTGACTGCTATTGTGTACATATGGGCTTGCTTGCATGCAGAACCCCCCCCCCCCAGATGGCATGCAGTGTCAACATTGAAATGAAAGGCTAAGCAGCTTTGAAAGTCACATACTCTACAATGCAAAATAGACTTTACCATGTTTTTACAAACACTTAAATGTGTCCCTAGTCCATCTGCAAACCACCAAGTTATGAGAAAAGTCCATCCTCTCCATCTTTCGCCTGCTCCACTTTTCAGAAAATGTGTGCTCAAACAGGCCGTTCAGAGATTTTCCCTTCATGACATCACAAAGGGCAGTAACCCCTCCCCCAGGTGGGTGACACTCCCACAGCTAGGTGTTTGTTCTGCCCTCTGAGTCTGCTTTTCCACTGTAAATTATAGGGCATAATGTGAAAAAAACCAAGCCACACATGCCCTTCTAAAGGGATGTGGTCAGACACAGCTCATTTACATATTTAAAGGTACAGACACAGAAACAGCCTGTTCTGAGCAGGGCTGAAATAGAGGGGTTTATAAGCATGATCAAATACAGGATCAGAGTGGATTTAGAACGAGACACTTCACACACGTTTTGGGGAGCTCTGAGACTTATTTAAACTGGTTGAAAAGGAGGAGAATATGTGACCTTTAATGTTCTTGTTTTGGACAAAAGATAAAGATATATAAAAAAAAAAAACTCTCTACTTTTAGTTTTGGTTGCTGATATAAAAAGCGAGGGCTGTAAATGACTCCCAGAATTGTAGGGACAACTTCTTTTGTAAGAAAAATCCCAGGAGAGTCACTAAGGTATCGATCAACATTTCAGCCAAATTACACATTTAGTTCTAATAAAGAAGTCCTTTAATCATTTTCCTATTTTCATTGTAGTTGCTCAGGATTGGAGTTGACGTCTGCAGTTCCTCATGTCTTTGTACGATACGATGCGATACATTTCTTGTCGGGCTGCTACTACTTTGCAAAAATTAAAGTATTTCTGCAAGATGGAAAAATGCCAGACATGCCAATCACCTTGTTCTGTAAATCAATTTGTGATGAACAATTGCAGTTATCTCTGTCACATAAACATCAAATACATTGTTCTCCCTGTGATTGGTTCACAATAGAAAACTTGAGCTTTTCCTCAGCAATACCCTGATACAGCTCTGATACAGCAGCAGGACCCAGAACAATAAACAGTCATACTGATGTCGATGACATCATATTAAAACATAGTAATGATGGATCACACATGCAGGATATCCAAAGGAGCCCACATGTGGAGACCTTGAACCTTGCATAGTGTTGAGAAACTGCTCCTCTAACAAAGAAACTATATCGAGTGGGAAAAACAGAATGTAAACATGACCAAACAAACCATTTTTGGTATCAAATATCATCTCGAGGGTTATGCCTTAAAGGTCCAATCTGTAAGATATTTACTGAATTAAATCATAAAATGACCTTCCTTTATCATCAGACATTAATGAATGAAGTGTTGAATGTTGAAGTGCTGGCTTCTCTGACAACGCAGCAGCCAGTATGTCTTTCTAAGTTTAGATTCTGGTGTAGAATGTTTTTTTTTCTTTTGACCAGAAGTTTTAAGCCCCTCCCCCCACCAAGCTTTTCACTCCTCACCCCTCAGTTTCCCAGGCAAATGGTAAACCAACAGGTGTTGCAGCAATGGAAACTTTCTGTTTTTGTCGTAAATGCAACAAGTTTCACTTTTTATGAGTCACAGTGTTTCCAGATGTACGCTAACTATCGTATTTGTACCATCATTTTGCCCTCTGTACGATGTAAGATCAATAATTGCAGATAAGGCCAAATGTGCGATGCTCTTGCAATTTCAGTGTCCCCTTAACCACGCATTGTTTGTGATTGAGAGCAAACAATCACATCAGCATGGTTAAGACAGCCATCACATCTGCACCGTTCAGTACCTGACCAGCATGCCCGCCGCTCTGCTGCCAGACTCTACCTGCCAATCAAATCATCACCTGATGCTCTGCTCACACCTGTGGTTCCTAACACCAGACAGACTGTTGGAAGACGCACGTCCCAACAAATTAAGATGCTACTAGCTCGGCTACACAGCGGCTGGAGACGGAGCAGTTTGCAAAAAATCTACAGTTTAATAGTTAGTTTGTTAGTTTATTTACATTAATGTGGTGTGCAGTTCAGTGTGGACCCATCTCTTTGTTTTTTTATCTGTACAATAGTTTTAAGTAAAATAAGATAGTTTTAAAGCTGCAGTACGATACTGCTTTATTTTTCATCTGGCAACACTGATCAGTCATTTTGTGGGTTTACATGGTAAGAGGTGGTCCTGAATGTGACTTCAGCTTGTATAGAGCTTTTTCTAGTCCATCCTCTTTTATTTTGGTAAATCTCCAAACATCCCTCGTCTTTTCTTTTCTTGATATTTTTAAATTACATCTTTTTGACTCCTACTAAATGTTGAATATCAGCCTACAACTTAAGTCTTATGTCTTCTGTTGCACTCACAAAGCTGCTGTACATGTCATGTAGTTTACTGTTTCCAAAACCGAAGCTCAAAGATGCCGCAGGAGAAACTGAGCTTCAGCCGCCTGTGAAAACAAAGAGTGACATACGGAGTGGCACACAGAGTGTCAACCCCAAAGGAAACATTTTACATCAAGGTGGATTAGCATTTCCTTTAATCTTGGGAGACTTCAGGCTTTTAACCTGAGGAGCACAGACACGTTGGCTTTTAAACGTTTTCCTTTGGGTTATTGGCCCACCACAGAGTATCGTGATGTCTAATTGAAGGTGCATGAATAGAGTCAAATGGTGCACGCCTACATTCATTATCTCCTCGAATCTAGACTTTATAATTACAACCATCTTTGGCATATTATGCAGAGAAATATTCTCCATCAACAGAGACCTTACAGAGATTTCTCTCGTCTTCGTTTTTCCACTCTGTGCTTTCACATTTGATGACAGACTGCGTGTTTGGAGGCGCTTACACGCTGATCACAGAGAGCCCTTCACCATGGCTTCTCATTAACTGTGTGAGTGTGGAGTGAGGAGTGAGGGGGCTGCATGTGGTTTGTGCATCAGTGTGTTTGCTCCTGCTGTGTTATGGTAGTTGTGGTAGTTTTTACTGCCCTGGAGGGAAGTGGTGCATGTTGGAGTGTTTAATTTTTGGCCTCCGAGGTTACAAGGGTGTGAGAGGAGATGAGAGACATTGGAAAATTGGTTTGGGATTAAAGATGTGCACTTTATAACATCTTCACTTGTACATGTGCAGCTTTGGAGCCATTATGGAGCCAACAATGTCATTACTGATCTTAAAATGTGATGACATATTCCCAAATTAATCCATTTTAGTTCAAATCGTACTTATTAGTATCCTCTATTTTTACCATAGCTTAGCATTTTTTACCACCTGTCATGCTTCCAATTAGGGCTCGACTGATATGGAATATTTGGGTCCGATACCGATATCGGAAAGAAAAAATCTGATACAGACAAATTGACCTCCCGTATATATCTTTGTTAGATCTTTCTCCGATCTGTAGAGATAAATATAGATATAGATCTACATTTAATGTGTTTGTCCCTTTAAATGTCGTTATCAAACACTTGTGGAAATGATAAATAATGAAGACAAGATGGTCACTCCACTGGAAAGTAACTGTGCATGTACGTGCATCACCGCTTGACACTCTGGAGAGTGATGATGCTCAATGTAATCCATATAGCGCCCTCTGCTGGTGAAAGAGAACTAGTAGTGTAAAACAATGAAACTCAAAGGAAATGCTATTTGACTGGTGAATAAATCCAGTAACATCAGCACATATCTGTGCTAAAAGTAGCTGATAGCGATCGTCACTTGATATGCTGATATCGGCCGACATTATCGGCTGGCTGATTAATCGGTCGGGCTCTACTTCCCATTACAGCTAAATTATAAGTAAAATAAATAATTCCCTAATGACTCAGACTTTTAACAGCAGAACTTTTCAAATCAGCGAAACCACAGCAGGAAATCGCAAACTTTTGTGAGGAGGGACCAGCTTTGCTCGAATGTATTCACTTTGAGGAAAGTGTTTTTTTTTTGGTAGCAGATTCAGAGATACCCAGAGACACGGAGCCTGTGATTGGCTTTGTGTCTTTCTCCCTGATGGATACGTCTTCCTGTGTACTCCTGTCTGTGGGGGCCGCCCCCGCTTTGTCAAAGTTAAATTTAAATCTGTTTCACTCAGAAATACAAAAGCAACAACACTGATACTAGATAGTCTAGAGCTGCTCATGTCGTCCTGACTTTATTGTTCACATAAGAGGATGTTGCTGTATCACCTTGGAAAGGGAACAAAAACAGTTTTATAAATACTTGATATGAACAGTGGACCGGCTGTGATTTAAATCAACGAGACGCCTCTATGTGACCCGTCTACTGGGATTTTGTTCCAACAAAATGCCTTTCAGGACATTTATGCGTCTTCCATTGTGCTTTGTTATTTTCCGTCTGTCATAGATATTGTGCACGAGAATCTGAAGATGGGCTCGGACGGGGAGAGCGACCAGGCATCGGGGACGTCTTCAGACGAGGTGCAATCTCCGACGGGCGTCTGTCTGAGAAACCGTATCCACCGGCGGATCTCTATGGAGGTGAGACACACTTACAAGCACACACTACACACAATATCAGCAAGAATGGCTTACACAGCAAGTCCATCCTCAATCGTCTCTACTCCGCTCTTCATCTCCTCCTCTCTGGGCCTCATGAGATCTGATTCAGGAGGGGGGTTTGTAGGGGGGATTGTTTGTCTTCTAATGGGCTGTGGGTGTCTGGCTGTCGTGATACTAGCAGCAGCCCTGCTCCCTGAGGAGCACCAATGGGGCTGGTAAGGAGAAGCAGAGTGATAATTTGTGCAGTAACCGCCGTGGTTCTCAACATGTCAGCGGTCTCAAAGCATGCTGGGATCGAGTTCTGCTCTGTTCCTCTTGCTAGGATGAATATAATGACGTTAAAATGAGCACTAATATTAAACTGGCAGTCAAATACCTGCTGGAGATCAGAACACAAGCCCCGCTTTCATAACATTATAGATTAAACTGGAACTTCTCTTTCATGTTCCACAACATTTTCTGCCCTTTAAAAGAAATACCACATTTGCATACAGTCGCATTCAAAATGTAATATTTAAATGCACAACTGGAAACAGGGCACAAGTTGTGACAGAAGGCTCCAGCAGTCACTCATTTCTGCAGAAACCTTTTTTTTTCTAACCGAAAAGCTTTTCAGTTTTTATCTACAAGAACAAGCATTTTAAATAGACACTGGATCAAAGATGTTAAATTGGCTTTGGTGGTTAGCCCACAGGCTCACTAGGCACAAACACGAGCTCAGCACATAAAATTCAGAAAGGATAAATTGGAAGAAGTCCTCATGATTATCAGGGGGGCTTCTTCTTTGCCTGCTAGTGTCAAAAGTGTTTTTTAAATTCATTTCTGGAGACAGATTTGCTGCGAGCCACCATTTAATTTCTCGTACTCATACAGGGAGGGGGCAGTAGCTCAGTCTGTAGGGACCTGGGTTGGGAACTGGAGTGTTGCCGACTCAAGTCCCGGTGCAGAGAGGTGCCAGTTCACTTATTGAGCACTGCCGAGGGGGCCCTTGAGCAAGGCACCAACCGCCCCCCCCCCCACCCCACCAGCCGCTTGCTGTGGGCCGCCCCCCTCACTCTGACATCTCTCCATTAGTGTCCATAGTATCCTGTTTGTGCATGTGTGTGTATTTTAACATGTGTGTGAAGCATATCTCAAATAAAAGATTGTACCCTCGCTTCTTCTTCACTTCTGTTTCTCCACACAAGCCGTTACATAAGCTGAGAAAGGTGCTCAGCCTCTCTTCTCCAAATAAACAATGCTAATGTTGGCCTTTTGTGTGGGTTCGCCCTACATCTTACGCAGACATCCACATTAAATCTTCTTTTAAAATATTTAACCCTGGGGGAAGTTTTCTTCTCAAAAGGACGAGCGTCTCAGCCTGGAGGCCTTCTGCCCCCTGCTGGTAGGAGAGCGTATGTCACAAACCCACCCCCCCCCCCCCCCACCACACCTTGACTGCATCCTTGATGTTTCAGTCTCAGCTGCTCCCTCACTCGCGCTCATGCTGTGACCCTATTTTTTAAAAATGATTTTGAGTTTTTATCACCTTTTTTAATTCTTGAAAGAAGCTCAAGGATGCGATGAGCTGTTACGTGAGCTTCAGTCTGCTGCTCTTGTTGAGTTGCTTTTGATACAAATGGAGGTTTTTTCATTATCCTACGTTGTGTCAGAAAGGAGGTTAAGGGCACAGTGTGTGCTCGCTTTGTGACTGCTTAATAGTGGTGTATGAATGGGATTAGTTACTTCTGATGGATGATACTACATAGCGACCACTACCGTCAGTGTGTGAATGTGGAAGTGTGACATGTGGTGTAAATCGCTTTTGAGTAGTCTGAAGACTAGAAAAGCGTTATATAAACTCAAGTCCATTTACCATCTACAATATGGACTTCTGGTTTCTAGCTATGGGTGGTCAATTTTGCCCTCCAATGCCAGTTTTAAAAAATAATGTGCTTTAAGACAGAGCGGCTGAAGGCTTTGGACCCCATGGTGGACATGCGGGCAGGTGGTGCAGTGAGTAAAAGGGAAGAAGAAGACCTGAGAGTGTGGGTGTGTGTGTGTTGATGTGCAGGAGTTGAGAGAGGTACGTGAGGAGGAGGAGCGAGGTTATGGACGGCCTTAAAGGTGAGGAGCGGAATCTATTTAACCAGGACAAACGATGCTGCTGAAGGACAGCAGTGATGCGATTAGTGGAGGGTGGTTCTGGAGCAGCAGAGTTCTGGACCAGTTGAAGTTTGTGCATAGATTTGAGATGCACATATATGACAGAGTGCCTCACAAAATAAAACTAGACGAGACAGGACGGACAAAAAAATTGGTTTTAGGCTGTCATTGTGTGATTAGTTTTTTTAAGCAGCACTGAGTTACATTACATAATACCTTTCCTTTTTCAAGACGCCGATTTACCTTACATAATCACAGCTTTCATATCAACTCTTTGTTGTCATAATTCTGGCATCATCTGCGAGCAGCGTTGTCATAGAGGTCGGTGATGAAACGAGAGAGGACAAGCCAAACTTAAAAGCTCGGATGATAACAAAACACATGTGATGTTCTCGGTGTATTAATACCCCACTCAGCCTCGTCTCTCCACATCAGACAGCAGCATTATGTCACGTCAGCACTATCAGATGTGCTCTTATTTGATCCTAGAATAGATCCGATCAGCCTTCAGCAACTATGAGACATGATGAGCTGAGTAATATTAACAATGGCAGCCCTTGTGGCGTGAACACGGACTGAGAATAGGAGCTGAAACCGTAATAAACAGACACAATATGCTCGCCTGGTTTTTCTTGCTGTTTTGTTTTTGTTGTTGTTAGGACACGATCTGATTTGTGCTCATGAAGATGTTGCTCTCCGGCCGCAGTCACACTACGACAAGCCTCCTCATATTTTTTACCCTCCATAAGATGGGGATCGACCTGATCTCTGTCTCCTCTCTCTGGGAGAACGAGGAGATGAGAGCGAGTTAGTTTAGACTATGCTCCTGTGTGTGTGTGTGTGTGTGTGTGTGTGTGTGTGTGTGTGTGTGTGTGTGCGCGTGTGTGTGGAGGCGGGTTGGGTGGGTGTGTGTGGGCGGTATCAGTATCCTACATTGTCTTTTGCTGCTTACTTAACAAACATGCCTGACGCCTCATGTAACACATACAGCAGTACATTTCCTCCCAGCAGGAAAAGCAAAATATGGCTTATCCACCCACTCATGCAGTAAAAACAAAGAGAGTGTGTTAAAGTTTAATACGTAAGATTTGGCCTTGCAATAGAGGATTTTGCCTTTTTAATTCTGAGGTGAAACATGGACCAACATCACAAATGTCTGAATTGATTGCAACATATGGGAATGTATTTTATGCTCTTTCACTCCCGTGTTTACATTCAGCCTATAAGTTTGAAACCTAGGTGTTATGGCCGTGCTTTCACACCAAAAATATGCAGCAGTATGAAGCTCAAGCTTGCTATCAGGTGCCAGTCTGGAGAGGAAAAACAGCTTTTCAGATTGATTATTCAAGAGAAGCAAGCTGCGAACACAGATGTTGTGAAAAACATGAAAACAGAATATGGACTTATAAACTGTGACTTATTGCTTACAGTATATACAGTACATTTTTGTATTTGTTGTTTATATATCACATACTGCAGTTATTGATATATTTTCTCATATTCATATTGTGCAGGCCTATGTGCCCTAGAGGTATTTCAAAAAGTCAGCGGTGCTGCTAGCCTGTGGTTAGTGCACCAGCCCCGTGAACAGAGGCTCAAGTCCTCCAAGTGGACTGCCTGGTTTCAAATCCGACCTGTGGCTCCGTTCCTGCATGTCATTCCCTACTGTGTCTCTCTCTCTCTCTCTCTCTCTCTCTCTCTCTCTCTCTCTCTCTCTCTCTCTCTCTCTCTGTCTCTCACTCTCTTTCCTGACTTCTGACTCTATCCACTGTCCAAATAAAATGTAAAAAAGTCAGTTCAAATTCTTAATTATTCATGAATCTGTGTGTGTTTTAGGACCTCAACAAGCGCTTGTCTCTGCCTGCTGACATCCGAATTCCCGACGGTTACCTGGAGAAGCTGCAGCTCAGCAGCCCGCCCTTCGACCAGCCGCTCAGCCGACGCTCCCGCCGAGCCTCGCTGGTAAAGAGTCTGTGTTACCGTTTGTGTGTGTGTGTGTGCGTTCGTGTGTGTCTAAGTGTTGTGTCTGCAGTTTCTATCTTTTATTGCTTTTGTGGTGCTGTTAACGAAGACTCCCTCTGTGCAAGTTACCATGGCAACTGGCCCTGTGTGAGATTGGGATTGATTAATCTGGAGTGTTTACCTCCTGCCTTTAGTCCCATCAAATGAGATCATAACACTCAGCTGTGATGTTTGTTGCAAACTGCCACAAAGAGGTTTATGTGCAGCAGAAGCTTACCAACCGTGACACCAACGCTTTGAAACGTGCTTGTTTGTGCAAAGTGAACATTTGGTTGGATCTCTTTCTTTAAGACCAAGTGAATAAAAATCTTGCCTTTGCCCCTTGCAAATCATCCTGATACCACATCATCTTAAAACAAACCAGCAGCTACAGTGAAAAAAACCCAGTAAAAATGCTGCAAAGAAGAAAATCCAAATATTAAGACAACTGCATTCTGTTCAGTCGCACTATTTAAATTATGCAGACTGAGCTGTCAGCCGATCCTGGTAGCAGTACAGACAGACAACCATAACTGGGTCAATTTTGCACTGAACTACATTTGAAGAAAGCGAAAGATGCTTATATGTTCACTATGGTTTCATATTGTGTTTAATGGAGGTTGATTCATACAGACACAAAGACATTATTGTCTTATAAAGTCATACTGAATCTTAAAAAACATTTTTGTCACGTCTGTGTTTTTGTATTTGACTGAGTCAAGACTCCGAAATGGAGTATCATTTTATTTTTTTGCAAATTCCACCAACTAGGCCCTAAGAGTTGTAATGCACCTAAAGAGTCCAACTGTTTGAAATCAACAAAGTTTTTCAAGACAGGTTTTGGTTTGAGGCTCAGCTGCTGTTTTGCACCGCTCTTAAACCCTCATGGAGTATAATTGTGTATACTAATTAGAGACCGAATGATTAATCGGCCAGCCGATAATATCGACTGATATTAGCCAGTGAATATCAGTATCGGCTGATTTTAATCGCAGATATGTGCTGATATTACTAGATTCATTCACAAGTCATATAGCATCTATATCTACCTGTAAAGATTGAAGAGAGATCTAAGAGAGATATCGGCCGGTATGTTGGTATCTGATTTTTTTCTATCCCTAATATCAGTATCAGCCCAAAAAATCCCATCGTAGTCTGGCTCTAATACTAATACATTATAGATAGCAGAAAGACTGACTTACATTAACAGAATAACAACAATACTGCACACCTGCATTTGTTTTTGGTTTATTTAAAGAAATTGAGTATCTGCAATGAGCTCTGTCCTGGAGTTGTGGGGAGAGTAAAACACCATTGAGCAGATCGTGGAATTCAAAACAGGGCAAAAACTTTGTTTTATTGGGGCGCAAATGGCCTAGCGTTTAGTTTTGTCCACGATGTGCGGAGGCTATAATTTTCCAAGCGGGCAGCCGGGGTTCAAGTCTGACTTGCGGCACCTTTCCCGATTTCCCTCTCTATCCACTGTCCATTCAAAATAAAGGCTAAAGCATATAAATAAACACCTTTAAACACTTTGTCTTACTGATGATTTAATAATCCTTCATGAGTCAGTCCTTCAGTCTAACCTTTTCCTCTGTGTTGTCTCCCCAGTCGGAGATTGGTTTCGGGAAGTTGGAGACGTACATAAAGCTGGACAAACTGGGAGAGGTGAGAAAGATTTGGATAAAGGAGAAATCTTTCAGAACTTTAAAGTTGATTCAGTGATGTTGAACCAGAGTTGTGTGTTGTGTTCAGGGAACTTATGCCACGGTATTTAAAGGACGAAGTAAGCTGACAGACAACCTGGTGGCACTGAAGGAAATCAGGTTGGAGCACGAGGAGGGAGCGCCGTGCACCGCCATCAGAGAAGGTGAGCTGCTTTTGTCGACTGATGAGTTTTCTATTTGTAACATTTGTATTACTCTCTTTGTGTGAACATTGCTCCGCCTTTGTCCCTGCAGTGTCGTTACTGAAGGACCTCAAACACGCCAACATCGTGACACTCCACGACATCGTCCACACTGACAAGAGTCTCACGCTCGTCTTCGAGTATCTGGTAAAACTCATCGCTCTGCCATGTTCTCAATGAGTCAGACAGTTTGCTTTTTCATTGCTGATAATTGAAAAATGAATTAGCATTTAGATGGAGTCTTTAATGGTAGCATGTTACAGTGGATGTTAAAATGTTTTACACAATGTCTGTATGGGGGGGAGAGAGGACACTGATGGCAGCACTGGGGGATGTTTCCACAGTGTCATTGTCTCTACTTTCTGTCTGATGATGTCATCTCTTCCTGCAGGATAAGGACCTGAAGCAGTACATGGATGACTGTGGGAACATAATGAGCATGCAGAACGTGAAGGTGACTCCCATTATTACGGATTATACAACAGTTAGCGCCGACCAAGCACTCTGATTGGACAAGAGGCATTTCATGAGTGATGACATAGGAGAACAACATCACTGGGACTTTTCACTATATGTATCACTCCGCCTAAGCCAGGAGAACGTTTAATTTACACTTACAGCTGACATTGTTTTTCTTTATTTATCAATCTTAAAACCTCAGAGTCACACGACAGACTCTCATTTCACTGGCTTCATGATCAAATGTATTTATTTTAACATTCACGTAAAGGATCATCCTACAGAGTGGCTGCTCTTTAGTAACCATGGACACCAACAGAGTAGCAAGAGTGCTGGATAGTAGAATGTTTGGGTTGCTTAGCAACAGGCTAGTTTCAGTTAAATTGTGGAGCTAGTTGAGTTAGGCACCGAGTCGTTCTTTTCTGATTGCCAGCGTACAAACGATCGAGTATAAAACATGCTGTCAAAAGCAACAGAGCGGTGTCGGTCATACAGCGGCTGTTGTCAACAGACTGTCGTCATAGAGACAGGACGGACGTGCAGTGCTTTCTTACTCAGCGCACAAACGCTTCATGCAGGCGCTACCGAGCCCAAAAGAAGCGCTAGGTGGACACGGGGCCATATTGGAGTGAAAAAATAATCTGTTGTTGATTTTTATTTCTTGTATCAAAGCATTATCACACTCAAGGTCAGGTTGTTGTTCTGGAGCCCTGTGGACACAGCAGTGTTGATGTTCAGTAAAACGTCACTCCCTCTCCTCTGTTATTGCTTAATTATCTCTTTATTCTGCTCTCTTTGTTTTTTATTATGACATTTTCCCTTCTTACAGAAACAGATTACATTCTTGATTCTTGAACCTTGAGCTTTTATTTACTCTTTCTATGTCAATTCAAACGTTATGAGACTGCACAGTCTTTTTGTCAATACCATGTTGCATCAGTTAATGGCTCTTTGACCCAGAGACTAAAAGCCTCCTTTGTGTTTGCATTACCATGTCATCTAAAGACCTGAAAATAAAACAAATTAGACAAATGTATTAACTGTTCGAGCTGATTTTTTGCATCTGATCAGACATATTATTAATACAATCTGTTTTCATATGTTTCCCCAGATCTTCCTATTCCAGATTTTGCGAGGGTTGTCTTATTGTCACAAGAGGAAAGTTCTCCACAGGGACCTGAAGCCCCAGAATCTGCTCATCAACGAGAGAGGGGAACTCAAGCTGGCTGACTTTGGTGAGTGAAACATCAGCAGCGTCTGTAAATGCTTTTGATTATTTCCATTTTCTTTACAGATTTAACACTTCTGTGCTTTCAGGTCTGGCCAGGGCAAAGTCCGTCCCGACTAAAACGTACTCCAACGAGGTGGTGACTCTCTGGTATCGGCCTCCGGACGTTCTCCTGGGATCATCTGAGTATTCAACTCAGATTGACATGTGGTATGACACTCATAACCATCCTATCACTTACACTCACCAGCACTGAGTTAGGATATTATTAGTCCATCAATCAATGTGCTGATGAAAAGTCAAAATGACAGCTTCTTTTTTCATGGAAGTCATCATGAGATGCAGAGTCTAATTTTGAGGCAGAGTCGAGTCTCTGGTCCCCTAAGACAAGTCCCCCTTACCGCAGTCAGAGTCCAGTCCCTCTTACCTGAGTCGCACATATTTGTGACAGTAATGTAGCTGTACACTAAACTTTGTTTGATTTAGCATCACACATAATCCAAGTATTTCTATATTATTCTGTAACTTAATTACCGGTATATTATTTGACTTTCAGAGTAGAGGTCCAGTAGATGTCTAACTTCAGCACCAGTCTCTCAAACCAAAACAAAGCTGTCCCTTCAGCCCTCAGCTCCCCCTGCTCCCCCCCCCCCCCCCCTCCCCCCCGGATCTGGCCGAGTGTAGCCGTTTCTACGACTGATCTCCATATGCGACCCAAAGTCGATTTGGTTCTCTTTTTTAAAAGTATTTTATACCAAAATAAATCTCTTCAGTTTGGAAAATATGTGCACGCTCCTTGATTTGTACTCTTGCGACAAAACTCTGCCATTATAGCTCTACTTCCAGCATTCCTGAGTGGGCGAGGTGGTCTCTCTTTCCCCTCATGGTGGCGGGGCTAACGGCTGGACAGGAAGGGGTTCATGAGAATGTAACATGTTTGAGCCTCTAAGTGAAACATTAACAAGCTGAAGGAAGCGCAGCCTATGTGAACACAGAGCTGAGAACAACAAACCCAGAGGGAGTTTGACTTCACAAACATTACTCACCAATATATTTAACATAAAAATGTTTCATATCAGCTTATAAATGTTGCATGAAATACCTGGGAAAAAAACCAAAACCAAACTGAATATCTTGGACCCTGTGGTTGAGTAACGCAACTGTAAGCTAGCAGCTAGCAAACAGAAACACTGTCAACAGTCGCTGTCTTCTTCGGACGGTTCTCTGACATATTGAACACGTGCATTGCTCTTGATTACTTTTTATGTTAAATATTTGTAAGCACAACTGGACCCAAGTACTAGTAAACTGTTGTGTGTGTGTGTGTGTCTGCAGGGGTGTCGGCTGTATATTCTACGAGATGGCTGCAGGTCGGCCGCTGTTCCCCGGCTCCACTGTGGAGGACGAGCTCCATCTCATTTTCAGGTTACTGGGTGAGTGGTTCCTGCCCGGCTCAGATCACAACAACAACACCTCAAATGTCTTCACCAGTTTAATGGAACACGCTAAACCCCTGTATCTGTGATTGGATGTGATTCTGTGACTTCAGGCACACCCACAGAGGAGAACTGGCCGGGAATCTCCTCCATTGAAGAGTTTAAATCCTACAACTTCCCCAAATACAAGCCACAGCCCCTAATCAACCACGCTCCCAGGTACTGTCATCTGTGTAGTCTGCATGTTTGTGTTTATCTTTTTTTACACCCATGGCTTTGTGTGTTTTTTTCTCACCCTTTGCATGTATACAGTGACGGTGTGTGTGTGTAGTTTCTTTTTTTTCAATGGGCAGGAAATCCTGTGGAACATTTCACAGGCGGCTGTCCACTTCCTTCCTCACACAAGAACCCACATTACCTTGAGCCCTCGCTGCAGCTTGACAGTAACCTGTTGCTCTTCCTTTTGTTTCCAACAGGCTGGATGGTGAAGGCATCGAGCTGCTGCTGAATTTCCTTAAAGTGAGTGTTTTTTTGCTACAAAACACAGAAATGATTTAGCATTTTTTACCCCCCCATGATAGGGAAAGATACTGCCCGAAGCCCAGTGGTCTACATAGACACTCCCAAAAACCTAACACCTGTATCTCCTAGTTTTCATCTGGCAAATGGTACAGGTGTCCTCTCATGACCTATCTTGGGACTATTGGTGTAGTTGTATAAGTATAGGATAAGTATGGTATAACTTAAAAGACATTACAGACAGGAAGCTCTCTTTTAATTATTACATTTTCTCAACAACATGTTGAGATGCATTTGAGTTCCAAACAGGTAAACATACATTTTAGGTGACATGAAAAATACTTAGTGACTGTGACACAATCACTGTTTAATAATGACACTTATTCAGTGTCGCTCTCTTTCCTCTGATGACTTTATATGGCTCTTAAGGCAACTGCTAAGCACCGCAGTGAGACACAACCCAAGATAAATGTAAACCCAAACCCAAGTTTAATGAGCTTATCAGTGAAATACACAAAAGACAGACGAATAGACACTTTTAGTGTTGCACCTGAACATCAGTATACCACAGTGATGTATGTCAGGCAGTTATCTATCCTTTCAGAATTCAAATATTAATATTAGCTTGACATTTTAGCTGATTGACATTTCTGTGAAATATTCAATGCTATCAAGAAAGGGGAAAAGATATCCTGCTTTCCTCTAAACACATTTTCCTGTCATCTTTGCAGTAACTTTTTACTTTTATATACTTTATTAATCCCTGAGGGAAATTCTGGTTTTGCACTTTGTTATTTAGAGGCATGCTACTCACACACATGGGCCTGAATCACACACACACATGCACAAACAGGACCTGTGGACATGCATTAGTGGAGAGATGTCAGAGTGGGGCTGAGCTGTTGGGGGGTTTGGTGCCTTGCTCAGGGGCACCTCGGCAGTACTCAGGAAGTGACCTGGCACCTCTCCAGCTTTGGTCTGAACCAGGATTTAAACAGGCCTCCCTCCAGTTCCCAACTAAAGTCCCTACAGACTGAGCTACTGCCGCAAACAATAAGAGCATTAGATCTGGATCAACACTATTTATTTTGAATGAATTAAATATGAATTTATTAAACAGTCTGATTAATATTTCAACAACAGACAGCTGAAGTCTTATCCTGCCGAGGCTGAGTTTAGAAATGATACAGTACCACTTTTAGACAGTAGGAGGCATAGCACCATCAGTATGTCCACTCAGTGTTTTCAGTGGTCATGCACTCCGGTTCCTGTTTCCACTCTGATTCTGTTCGTCACAGTGAATCACAGATTGCAGTCACAACAACTTCCTGTTTCTGTCTCCTCAGTACGAATCCAAGAAGAGGATTTCAGCTGAAGAGGCGATGAAACACTCCTACTTCAGGCAGCTCGGGATGAAAGTTCACACACTGTCTGAGGGTGAGCACACACACACACACACACACACACACACACACACACACACAACTCAAGTAATCTGCGATATGTGTCTTATTGGTCTTACTATTCCCTTTTTTTAAATAAAAAAGATGTTTCAATACACAGGAAGAGTCCAAAGAAAGTATTGGAGTACATAAAACACTTAATGCAAATTATTAAGGACTAAAGTTCTGATGCTCTGCGTCTTCCTCAGAGTCAAACAGTACAGGGAAAGATTTGAAAAAGCTAAATATCCTCCTGCTCAGAGAGTCATCTCTCATTGGTTGATAAGTGGGAGGTAAGTAGACGGTTAACCAGTACTGTGACAGCACTCATGTGTAGCCCTTTGAAAATAACATTACACTTTGGATGGATTGTAATATTAATCTATACAATATTTACAAGAAGACAACGGTTAGAGACGGAGCAGAAAAGATTATACACAACATTTCAAAAAACATGAGAGGCTTAATTCCTCATGAGTCCGCATGGTTCCACTGTGTAGAGTGTGTTGAGCCTCTCTTCTCAGCAGTTTGTCAACAATGTCTCCCCCCTCTCTCTCGGAGGGAGAGAGTTTTTCAATGCCCCAAAACCGGAGAGAGACACAGCAGAAACATGGTTTGTAGTGTCATGCTAAACCTAAGTCTATGTTGTGGTTGCGGATGGCTGCTATTTGTTTGAAAATACATGTTTTAAGGGGATGTTTGGTCTGACCTTCATAGACCATCATGGACAGTTCAGCATGTAGACAACGTGTGTGGTGCTGCAGGTCATGAATGAGTTGATGTTAAACATCTTAGTGGTACGTGGGTGATGGAAGTGTTTTGCGTCAGATGAGTTAGTGCAGTGGCCACACCAATAGAAGCCAGAAGGTGGAGCCGGCTACCAACCCCAAGAAAGGTGTACACAAATCTGTCCTTTAGCGGGCGGGAGCGGGTTCTTCTGAAGGAGGAGAGAGGGGTCAGCAATGTTTCCTTGCAATGTTTTTTTATTTCACCTGCGATGAGAACCTGGTGGAAAAGCAGAGAGGTGGTGTTGTGTGGGTTGTCCAGGTGTGAGATTTGTGTGCTCCAATACTTTCTTTGGACCTCTCTGTGTGAAGGAATCCATTGAAACACCTTTTTACTCCATCTGTGGAGGGCTGAAGTGCAAGTGGACTGAATCTCCCCTCTGTTTTTGTAGGTGTATCGATATTCACAATAAAAGAAGTGCAGCTGCAGAGAGACCCTGGCTACAGGAACTCCTCGTACCCAGAGTCAGGTAAGTGGGGAACACAGCAGACGCTTCCGCATTTAACCTTTTTTACATCACTAAAACTTTTGTTAGATGATATTTGACGAGGTGGCAAAGACGGCTGGTAAAGGATGACAGGCTTCTTACAATCATATCATTTGTTACGACACAACACAAAACTATATGACACATGACGAGATGATACCATATGCTCTTTTTTTTCCCCTTAAGGAAATTTGTCTTGGACTCCAGATCTGCACACATTTATCTTCCTCCACAGTAGAATTAATAAATAAAACAGTAGAACAACAAACAACAATTCACATGTAAACAGAGAAGCACATACCAGGAAGAGAGCCTGACTTTAAGTGCCTTGTAAGGGTCAAGCTTTGATCTTTGTCAGGGGTGCTGGTGGCCTAGTGGCTGTGCGCACATCCTATGTGCGGAGGCTCAAGTCCTTTAAGAGCGGGCAACCCGGGTTGGAATCCAGCCTGTGACTCCTGTCCAGCATGTCATTACCTACTATATCTCTCCTTATGCACCTTGTGTGAAAACACCCTTAATTTCATAGTATCTTGATACAATGACAAAAAAGGCCTTCTTCTTCTTCTTCTTCTTCTTCTTCTTCTTCTTCTTCTTCTTCTTCTTCTTCTTCTTCTTCTTCTTCTTCTTCTTCTTCTTCTTATGTACAGCAAAAGCATTATGGGTATTGTATTTTTGAGTCTTTCTTTTTTTCTTCCAGGTAACGGCAAGATCAACAGGAGGCAGAGCATGCTCTTCTAATGTCTGATGAAGAGGATGGCTGACTGTCCAACTTTATCATTTCCCAACAACCTCTCGCATGAGCCCACCTCCCCTCAGAGTGAACCCACCCCCCCTTTACCTGCACACACACACACACACACACACACACACACACACACACACACACACACACACACACACACACACACACACACACACACACACACACACGCACACACCCACACACCCCTCTGAGAGCGATGGACTCTGGGTTGATTCTTAAAGGAGACAGTGTTTATTTATTGGGGGTTGGGGTGAGGTTGAATTTTTTGCTGCTAAACTACTACTGTCTGTATTTAACACACAGTGTGTGTGCGTGTGCATGTGTGTCTGTGTGCGTATGCGTGTGTGTGCGTGTGTACAAGATGTGAACTCGAGACGCCATGCACAGTTGAGCAGTCAGTAAGGTTACGTTTGTTTTTCTGCTGACAATTCTCCGGCTTCATTTGAGTTTAGAATTCCACTGATGTTGATGTCGACGCTGTGATCCAAGTTGTTGTTCTCGTTTTGGTGCTTGGAGACTGGACGCTTCAGTTTCTTCAAGTTTTTTTTTTTTTTGTTTCCTTTTATAAATATGTAAATCTATATATATTTGAAGTTTATGTTTTTGTTTTTTCTTCGAGCTTCCGTGACTGAACTCTCCAACATTTCCAGGTTTAAAAAGACTGGGACGATTTCATGCTCTCTTTTGAGGGCAAATCGGTTTCTCTGGATTCCTTTTTGACTTTTTTTTTTTTTTTCCTGAAATATTTCCGTCAGACTGTTCTCCGGACACCCTGCTGTCCTCAGGGGGTTTGAAATGATGGTCAGAAAGCACGAGTGTGAGCGGATCGTGTTAACAGCTGTGAGTCCAAACAAACTGGAAGAACCTAAAGACCAACTTTCAGGTCTTTTTGTCCTTGATCAGCAACGGGACCATGGCGAGGAGCAGAACAGTTGGGATGACGAGTAAAAGCACCAATGACAGAGGAGGAAAACTGGAGCTGAACAGGAAATCATGAGACGCCCCACAGGAAGCCAGCAGGCCTTCCCTAAACCTCTCACCAACTGCCAGGACTTCAATGCTTTTTGAAAAAAATAATGCAAGCTACACTTTCCTGCTCTGTGTGTATTCAAAGATCTCACTGCAGTAACTCTTTTTATTAACTTGCACTTCAGTGTGTGTTTTTTTCTGGAATCAGGGATCCGGGCCTCGACACGGCCGAGTTTACCCATCAGTATTAAGATGTGTTCTGTGTCTGTGACCTTTAACCTCTCCTTGTGAAATAACAGTGTCATTGTGGCATGTTTTTCTGAAGCAGGGGGGGGAGAGATGGGATCGGGTGTGATATTCAAAAGCATAAATGGTTATTTTCCCACTTGGTGTCGAAACCACTGCTCCAGCATTTGTACACAGGAAGAAAAAAAAAAAAAAGAAAGATTTCAAATTGAAATATTAGTCTTAACCGCCCGCTGTGTTGTTTGTGACTGACAGTGATGCTACAGACGAAGGCGGCCGAGAAGTCTCACTTCTGTAAACTGCATGTTCACAGCGGCAAATGGATAGATCTCTGAAGTTTTATTTACAGACTTGTTAAAACGTCTGCCCGTGTGCTTTGGATTCCTGATTTTATCAAGTTGCAGAACGTGTTTGTCTTATTCCTGTTGACTGAACAGAGGTGTGCTCACTCCTCCAGATATTTTTGGGCGGCAAAGTGATAGCAAAAGATGTTTTAAATTATGTAAAGGAATATTTTTGACATTTTCAGAAAAACTGTCTTATTGGCCTTCTTGTGAAAAACTGGATGAGAGGATACAACTCTTACTGAATGCCTGTGCAGTAAATAAGCTATCTCCAGGGGCCTGATAGCTTAGCTTAGCTTAGCTTAGCACAGCTATGCCTGAAAGATATCAAATCTGCCATAACCACCTCTGAAACTAACAATAAAGCACATTTTATCACTTATGTTTATTTTTACAGAATTCTTAATGCAAAAGTGACACGTTGGGGTTTCTTAAAGGGGCACATCCTGGACTATGACTTGGTTGGGCACAGTAACGTCTTCAAGTCTCTAAGACACAATTGTATTATGGCAGCTAAGAAAAAGTCCTGAACTCAACCCCTGTGTTGATTAGTCAAATGTTTTGAGGTGCTTTGCAGGCAGATTTTTTTTAACTTTTAGATAAAACCAGGCTAGTTGTCAGCTTGGTCTAGTTGTCATGCTAAGCTAAGTTAAACAGCTCTCATCAAGTCCTCCTGTTTTATTTATTTTTTTACACACATAATTGAATTTCTCATCCAGATTTTGTCAAGCAAGGGAATGAGCTTATTCGTTTAGAGCCGTACCCTCATGCTTTAAAGTGCATGGAAGAGAAATACATCATGGAAAAGGCAGATAGAGAGCGACTTCTACGCTCACAGTAGCAAAAAAAAAGAAAAAAGTGAGTGCAGTGCGTACGCTTCTGCTCTTAATAACATCAGGAATGCATTGAACAACCCGGGTTGAACATGTAAGAATGTGAGAAGATTTCTATCTCATTTCAGCTCTATTGTTCCACATCTACAGGAGAGTTTCATTTGTGTCATCCGCTGAGGTTTAAAGGATTTCAGCAGCACACGAGGTCTGTGTTAAACTACACTGATCAGGTAGAACAAGCTGAGAGCATCCATGTAATAAACACAGTAAGACTTTAACACAGTTTGAAGCTAATAGTGGAATAATCCTGTTCACATACTGTGTCACTTATTATTCCAGGAGTTGGAAAACAATGGCAGAATTATTTGTAATGTTGCATTAATTGATTTTAAAAGCTCTGAATGTGCCCAAAATTTGGTCGATTGAAGTTAAAAACAAACTGTCACCTCAGAAAAACATCAAATCAGAGGTGTTTAAGAACCCAAATAATGAGGAAATGATGGTTTTAACGCAAAAAAAAACTCCATTATATTAATGGAAAACGTCCTGAATTACATTTATTGCCATTTGATTTCTCCCATGGTAGCTTTAAAAGGAGGCGTCCGGTTTCTACCTTTCATTTTGTACATCACGTTAATCTGTCTCCTGCAGGTTTGGATGCTTCTCTGAAACTTCACCACACAACAACAACAACAACAAAAGATGACTATTTTCTACGCATCAGATTTAAGGATGGAGTATTTTTCATTCTTAACTTCAAACTGTGTTTCTGCAAGAAGCAGTTTTTGTGACATGCGTGAAAGGAGATTTCTGCAACGGCTTAATATTTATCATTGTAAAACTGTAAAACTTTTCCAGATGTATGAATGACCTGAATTTATGTGAACATGTCTGAGTATGTGTGTGTGTGTGCCTGTTGCATGGAAGGCCTGCTGTGTTGTGAATTCGACCTCTCTGAAACACTGAGCTGCCAGTCAACAGTTGGTGTGTGACTCTTTTTACTGGAACTATTTATTTCTCATAACCATGGAAAGTAAATTTAATCTGTTTCATAAACTGTGTGTGCAGCAGTCATTCTCTGGGCGGGGAAAGAGTGTGTGTGTGTGCTTTCAAAAGAACACAGTCACTCGGAAAAGTAATTAATTTTATTCCAAAAACAATAACAGTTCTCTCAACATACCAATAAAACGCAAAAAAAATCACTGAGAATATACTTCCATTAATTTCAGTATAAAAATAACAGGAGCTATTTTACAAAAAGAAAAAAGCTGTTGTGCAATGTTGACCTGTAAAACATGTTTTAGAGCTCAACACATTTAAGAAGTCTGACACTATCAAAGGCACTGCTGGTACTATACAAGCCTTTAAAGTACAGTGCATTTAAAAGAAAAAAAAAGTGAAACTATACAGAGATAACGAAACAAAAAAAAAGTTCACAGCGTTGATTCAAAGCATTGTAACAAAATGAGCTCAGCTTTTTGGCGCACTAGCTAGCAGCTAGCTATGCTAGGAGTCAATGTCATTTAAAACAGTAATGGGGTATATACAAAGGTTATGGCAAGTGTTGGGGCTCAAAAATCATAAATGAGACATTACCAGTGGTTAAATGTCAAGGTGACGCCTAAAACTTTTTATATGTTGGTAAAGATGTAGCTAGAACAGGAAACGTATAATCAAGCTGCTATCTGTCACAGACCTGTGTCGCCTAAAATCATTACCGTATATCATAAAAATGTAATTGGAATTATTTATATTTTAGGGAATATTTTTAAATAGACAAGAGAATTGCCACCACACTCAGTCAGTCAGTTGAATACAAAGAGCCACCAGCCGGTTAGCTTAGCAAAAAGACTGTAAACAGCTAGCTTAAAGAGCTAGTTAATTAAGTCTTCCTTCCATGAATATAAAGCTGCTTTCTAAATAACACATCATCTTTTGTGTTTGCTGTGTCTGTACATGATATGTATAAATGACAGGCTTCACAGTGGTATGATATTGTGACCGAGAACAGTAACTTGTTGGATTTTTGTTGTCATGGGGAATAGACAACTTAGTCTCCCTCATTAAACTACAATTTATGTTTTTAGATTTTTATGGAAGCCCTAAGCAAACATACATCCATACATTTTATATTACACAGTTTTCCTGTCTTATCTCAGGATAACAACGCTGGTTTTCCATTGTTAGTGCGTTTCATGAGAAAGCGGCTGTAATTAACTCGTTATCACAGGAAAACAAAGACATTTTACATGTATTGATGCATGTCTGCCAATGGCTTCTGTACATGTTTGCTCTATTACACAATCTTTAAAAATAAGCATTTTGAAGTAAAAAGTTAGACTTTTGTAACATGGGATCGAGCAATGCAACCTGTTGCCTGTATTTGAGGCTTAATGCTGAAATAAACAGTCTCCTGTCTGTATAAGGAACAAAAGCATACTTGTAAAAAAGTAAGTGTATTTTCTTATATTTTACAATAGTACACACTGAAAGAAGCCTAAAGGCACATTCTTTGTCAACTTAGTTGTATCATAATTCCAGACAAGTTTTCTTTTTGGAGGGGAAGAAAAAGACTGAAATTACATTCATGAAACTGCAAAAAAGTCTGTATCATTAAAGTGTAAATCAGGGGGGATGAGATGAGATATAACATGAGATGAGGGCTTCCCATTAAAGGTAATTCATCTTGAAAATAGGAAAGCACTAAATACACATTTAAAGAACACGAGTAGTACACTCAACAAAATTTCTTATGCAAATGTTCCTCTCAGAGAGCAAATCTTCAGAGTGAAGTTCCTGTTTCTTCATTTAAATGCTAAAGAAACAGGTTCAGGAGTGCTGCTGGACTGAGACGAGGTCCGACTCCTGTGTGGTTCATCATCTGAGTTTAAGGCTTGTTTGGTTTGGTCCGCTCTCTCTCTCTCTCTCTCTCTCTCTCTCAGGACTTATGGGAGCTGGAGGAGAGCAGCAGGGGAGAGGACACGTCCAGGCTTGGAAAAGGCACAGGGAAGTGACCATTCAGCAGTGTGGGGAACTGTAGAAGGATAGCAAAACAAAAAAATATTTAATTTATATAGATACTCCAGATGTTTACATAAATAAACACAAGCATGCTGTACACACATATACAAAGTACACACACATTTAACCAACATATAATTAATGTGATACATAACTATATTTTTATCTACCTACATGTGTTCACAAATAACACAAGTACTCTACCATCCTGCTGATGATACACCACATTAGAATGATTATTACTGAACAGGTGGGAGGGGCAAATGACTAACCAGTCCTCCCCCTTCCCTCGAAGCCAACAGGAAGTTGCCCCCTCTTCTTGTCTACGCCAGAACGGAAACATCTGTGGCTTATTTTGAAACGCTTGCATACAGTGAATCACACATGAACCAACACACAAAGAACATTGTGAAACTTTGAGGTGTATTTGTAGGTGAGATCACTGATGATCCTATTGTTACGAGAAACACTGTAGATAAAGATGTCACAGGCGTAAAGGTAATTTGCATCGATGGCTAACCTAGTGTTTTCTGTGAAAGGCAAATAAATAATAGTCTGTCCGTTGTTTCTTTTACTCTGGCCTGTCAGAACTCAAACCATTAGAGCTCGTTCCAAAAACACTTTTAACTTAATTATCCACAAGAAAATGTTTCCAGCACATAAACATTTAAATTGGCATTTTCCCCTATATTTTCTGTATGAAAAACAACTCGTGTGTACTCTGAGACTTTTTTCCACTCCTATATTTAGAAGAAACAAATAATAAAATAAGGTAATTCAATCAAGCTTGTGAGACTTTTTAGTTCTTTCTTCTTGTAGCTGCAAAAGCTGTAAGTGCATGACATTACACAAGTTTCACTGATTTTAGAAATACCTATTAAAGGGGACATATTATGACAAATCCACTTCTACAATGTTTTTGAACATATATTTGGGTAACCTGAGTGTCTACTGACCCACAAAATGTGAAATAAACCCATCCAGTCCTTAGTTTGTGGTCTGCAGGAGTCTTACAACACAGAGAAAAATGCTCTGTTTCAAATTTGCTCTCCTTGTGATGTCATAGTGGGATTCTGGTTAAAAGAAATACCCTCCCCTCCCCTGATATCTCCACCCATGGACTCCACCCCAGCTTAGAGCAAAACTTTTGTGCAGATCCACCATTTTTATTCTCACTACAGAGGAGTGAGGTCTATCAGCAAAACTTGGGGGGCTCATTGCATTTAAAGAGACACACACACCAAAACGAAGCGTTCTGAGAGAGCTGGTTTATACAGGGTCACAAACCTCCTCTGGTGCTTGATTCATGTTATATTTTGACCAAAGCACAGCACAGATGTTTCATTTAGACCACAGGGGACTGTTTGAAAAGGTGGAGAAGGGGGATAATATGTCCTCTTTAATTGGTCATTTTTGTAAGAATGTGTTACAAATTGCCTCAATTTAAACTAGGCTATATGCTAAGTTAGAATTGTTTCAGGGTGATCCTATGTTTTCTGAGAAATATTGAAAGGTCTGACAAACTTTTCCAACTTGGCAACATTTTGCACGGTCTGGTTGGGTTTTAGGAAAAGAGCAGAATTTTTAACCACTGGCCCAAGCTCTCTTTTTGCATTTTACACACAACTTATTTTGCCATTGTTTTTGTAGGCACACAAAAAGGTATAACTGTGAATTCATTGCAGGGGGAAATCATCTAAAGCTGAGTCTTTATACAACAACAGAAAATGTGTGTGCATGTTTGTGTGTCTTACCTGAAAGAGGGGTGCATGGCTCTGGAGTTGGGCAGGGCTGAGGGGCCCCACTGGACTCATGCTGGACCAGAAATGGATATTAGAGAGTAGATGACTGGGCGTGAGCACCAGACCAGACGGAGTCTACATCGAAAAAAACCCACCAGAATTAAATGTCAGAGGATAAATACACCAGGATGGAAATGATGCTGTTTATTTTGGCTATCAGACCTAAGTGCTGTTCATAGTGTGCAGGGAAGTTGTCAAATTGTTAAGTCTCACCAGAGAGCTCATAGCCAAGCCTGCCCTCTAGTGAACTTGGGTCTACCAGACAGATTGACTTGGCAGGCTGACACAATGCAGGTCAGGAAGCTCCGCTCATGCAGAATTCATGAGATGCATTTCCTTCTGTCTCGACTTTCTAATGCCTCTCCACGTTCAACTAAGGTCAGTTTTGTTTTCTCTGGTTCTGTCATGGGCTAGATAGGAACATCAAAGAACAGGAACAACTTCAGTTTCGTTGCCTGAGTTTTTATCTTACTGCATTGATAAGTACAACCAATGAGTTTTATTCTGTTTTAAAAATCATGTTTAGGTTATACCTGTGTTGCATATCATTCCCAATTTCATTTTCCTTCATCCCCATCATGCACATATATAAAATATTTCTAATAACGGCATAAAATCAACCTGAAAACAAAAGTTTATGTGGTTTTATTGCAGGAAGCAGTTTGAAAAATGTTCCCACAAGAAATACGGGGTTTCCTTCAGACTATATCTCATGGTCAGTACATTTTTAAGTCTGGACATTTTTCTCTCCCAAATGTTCTTGGTTTCATCACTCTGTCACTCTTGCTGGTTTAAAACAGTTTCAATGGCATTTTTCACACATACTGTACACTCCTGAAATTTCCAGACAGAGCGCCCCTGAAATCCATAGATGGTCAAACATGCAACCTCACTGTGGGAGTCTATCCCTTCCAGATTGGGGGGGGGTCTCAGAGGCAGGACATGATGGAAAAAGAACGGCTCGGAAATGACAAGCGAAGCAACAGAGTTCAACGCTTTGATGATAGTTTTCGCCTTTATGTCAATGCTACATTCAGTTGACAAATTCACAGTATCAACAAAAGAGCGAGGGAGTGGGGAACAGAACATTTAATGAGAGAGGTTTAATGACATGCATGGAGATGGCAAAGGTAGTGCGCCGGTAGCAGCTTAAAAAACGTTTAACCCACTCCCACACGGGGAATTTTCCTGAATATTTCCTTCTGCGTTCAAATTTACTACAGTAGGGAGCTGGCAGGAAAGAAATTCAGGTAAAGTCTGGATGAAGAATTTGGCGGTTTGCGTTTACACATGCAGCTCACCCCTGGACATTTTCCAGGAGTTATAAATAAGTGAAAACACTTAACGTTTTGATGAGTATTCCTGATTAATCTCAATGCTTGAGCAAAATACCAGTTAAGGCCACACAAAAAAGCAGCAGCTGACACCACCTGGACAACAACAGCAGCTTCATTAATGAACAAAACCTGGAACCACATCTGCACTCTGGTAAGTTCTGTATAAGGTCCTGGTTACTCTTCCACAACTCAGGTGTTTCCTCAAAAACTCAATCATGCAAAAGGTTCAGTGATGAGTTACCGCTTTAGCATACACTGATATTTTCCGTTAATTCTGTTCTGTAAACTCAGCAGCCCATCATTGCTCATGTTGGATCAAAGCGTCGACTGAATGTAGGCAGACTGTCCTCGTTTGGTCAGTGTGTTGTTGCCAGTGACTCAGGAGCGTCAGGAACATATGGCTTCACTTATGAACCTCCTCCCTCCCTCGATCGCCTCCTCCCCTCTTTCCGCTCACCTCTTTCCATCTCCTCCCAGTCTGCAAGCTTAACTTTCCTCATCCCTGAAACACACTCTCCTTCTCTTTTCTCCCCGTCCACTCCACTCGCCTAAAAAAAACACCAGTGTTTACAGTACACTGTGTGAGTGTGCTGCTTTAATTACATGTGTCATGTGTCATTATTGTACCTGTGCGGTGAGGAAGGCAGGGGTCATGGACCCTGAAGGCAGCGCTGGGCTGTTGAGTGCTATGGAGACCAGGTCATTTCCTGTCAGGAGGAGAGGGGAGGCGGAGATTTCCAAGCCTTTGGGTTTTCTCAATCTCAAAGGTAAGTTATTTGCTAGTCCCCTCCTCTCTGGTGTCGATGTGCTCTGTGACCTCAATCTCTCCCTCTGACCAGATGACAGGTTAAGGGGCTGAGCGCTGTACTCCAGCTCATCAGTGTCTGTGCTCAGGCAACGTCCCCTCCACAGGTTGTGGGCGGGGCTTTGTGGTGGTGAGGAGGAGCAGGAGGAAGAGCGGGCCTGGCGAGGCGATGGCCTGGAGGAGTGGGACGTCTCGGAGGAGGATGGGGGAGGGGTGGGAGGAAGGGAGGAGTGGCCTCGGTTTGTCACGAATCGGATGACAGAGGAGCTGTCGTCATGCCGATCAGATCTGGGCTCCTCTTTTATCAGCTGGTGCGGTTCTAAGGAATGCTGCAAAGAGCTGACGGTGAAGGAGGAGTACAGGCCTGACTGGAGGTATTGATTTCTCCCTCCCCCGTCCTCATCGTCAGCCTCAGGCTCTGACGTCGCACCTCCACCCTCCTCACTGCTGCGTCCCAACTCCACCACTGCAGGGTCCATCTTCAGAATCTCCGGGAACGACACAAACTTGTAGACAAACTTCTGGCCGATTACCTTCTTTATGATGTTCTGCAGAAGAAACAGGACCAGTTTGTCATGTTAAGCCCTTTTCTAATATCTTAAAACACCATCAAATAAATGAAGTACTTCAAAACTTTTATCACGTGTAAGTCACCTACTTTGTCGTAGTAGTAGCGCAGAGCTCTGCTCAGCTTGTCATAGTTCATGTTGGTCTTGTTCTTGCGCAGCCCCCACAGCTTGGCCACTTCCTCTGACTTAAGCAGCTTGAACTCGCCGTCATTGGACGTCCAGCAGATGAGATGTTTGTGGCTTTGGTCGATCAGCAGCTGCAGCAGGAACTGCCAGAGAGTGATTGAACTCTCCATGACAGGATGCCAACAGAAATACCAGAGACAGGCAATCTGTAGAGGAGAAGCAGGATTTCAATGATCAATTCATAAACTGTGCATCGTCTATTGTTTTTTTTTAACCTTTCGAATGCTTTATGACACAGATCAAAAAGAGGACTGTTCTGTGGTAAAAAAAAAAAAAAAAGAGCTGTTGAAAAATGTGTTGCATCTGCAAGAAGTGGATCAAGAGATGGTGGGACTGAAAGGACATATTTCCAACCATCGATTTTCTTTGTTGTATCCCTGCAGGGTCAAGGTCGCAGCAGACTTACGGGGTTTTCATAGATGCACTCAGCTTTGCACATAGTTTTTCAAGAGTGAGCTTCAGGACAGCCTCCCCCTGAAATCATCCAAAGCTGTTATTCACACATGTCCCTCACAGCGTGAAGTTTTCAGAGGACGGGGTATCAGGAGGTAACCCATGGCGTAAAAAGGACACCGCAATAGTCTGTTTACAAGATATCCCGAATGGCCGGCGAGGCAGAGTCAGACACTATATGACACTTTTAATTCTTGTATCAGTGCTGGGTTTAATTGGAGTCAACCACAGTTTGAACAAATGTGTGAAGAAGAACAAACAGGTGAGTAGAAGAAAGGACTATGAAGCTGCCGTTGTACCTACAACATGGTACAATCACACTGGTCACTCACCGATCTCGTGATATGAACATCACCCCTTTCACTCTCACATGGTGAACTTTCCTGCTCTTCCAACTTCACTCAGAAATTTTTAGCGAACATGAAGAGTCTGGTTAAAGACAAGGGGTGCAGATTTTGGCCATTTACATTCACACATGCAGCTCATGTAGAAAATGTCAAGATTCTTTTCTGGATTTTTGTGAACACAGCATTAGAAAGTTAGTCCAGCGATCTCTCTCCCCAAACTATGTTTTTTAGCTCCTCAGAATCCTGAAGAGTTCCCCGGCAGAAAGAGATACATAATTATTTTAGGGTTTAGCCTTTCTTGGTTCCTTACTAGTTCCAGTAAAATCCTCAACAGGAAGGTGAAGCATCCTTTAAAGATGCCCGCATTACCTCATCTTTCTGGCTCCTGTGGATACAGAGCAGCAATGGTTTACCCCCATGCTCCCTCCAGATGTCTGAGCTCCTCACCAGCCCTCATTTGAGTGGCTAAAAACCAAACGCGTATCCTTCTCTCTAATCTTCTAGTTTGAAAACTTTTGAAGGGGCATCAGAAAAAAAAAAATCTAAAAACAACAGTGACATGTCTTCAAAGTATTGACCTTCACCTTTCACTTCAAGTGGGATATGAACAATAAGATCTTTGTTGTTACACATTTAACACATTTTGTATGGCTTCAAAATAAGATGTGTAGAAATGTGTGAAAAGCTTAACACACTTGGGGCGCCGGAAGCTGAGCGCCCCCATGTACGGAGGCTGAAGTCCTCCAAGCAGGCGGCCCGGGTTCAAATCCGACCTGCGGCTCCCTTCCTGCATGTCTGTCCTCGCTCTCTCTCTCCCCACTGTCTTATCTCTAAATAAATATTAAACCTTTATAAAGCTTAACACACTTTATGTGAGGATTTTTGAGTTTTGGTCACGGTTTAAAGTAATGTGACCTTGAGCTAGCTATACGAGTCAATGCTAACAGCCGCTATCTCGCATTCAGATTTCCACATCAGCAATTTTATTCATGTGACACATAGTTCCCTGAGCAATACTTTCTGTTTAAAAATCCTTTTGTTAAAGTCTCACATCGTAAATTAAACTGAAATTCAGGATGTTGTAATTTTTCAGCCATTCTTGTTTTGGGAATCAGACTCCACTGAGGACGTAATAAGAAGGGAGGGAAAACATAAAGAACGAGATGGTCATAGAGAAGCTGGGATCCCAAACAGTGACCCTTTGATGCAAGCTCCACCAAAAACCACAAGAATAACAACGCTGGCCATGCCCACCTCTTCTTCTCTGACTGGGACTTTCCTGCGCCCCAAAACCCCCAACAACACAAACACCTGAACAACACTGAAGAGTCTTTGAGACTTTACAGCACATTGAGTTTCCCCTTTGTTACTAAATACTAAGAATAAAACAAGTCATCCATTCCTAACACTTATGACCTCATGATCATTGACTCACAGAACGTAGCTGTCTACAGAAGCAGGTTGGCTGCAGTAGTAAAAGTGTGAGGGAAGACCCAACATTGATCATAAATCCATCCATTATATTAAATTGCTTGTCCCGTTCAGGGTCGTGGGGGGCCGGACACAATCCCAGCTGTCATTGGGCGAGAGGCGGGGTTACACCCCAGTCGATCACTGGGCTTGATTAAAAGTTAGGTTTGTTAATATCTTGTGACATTAAAGGCCAAAGCACAAGATAAAAAAATACTTTTCATACAAAGAAGAAGACTTGGTCCCATGTCTTCAGAAGTCGATATCAAAGTGAGTTAAACCTGCATTGTCCCTGATTAGGGGTTAGGGTCTTTAATAAAGCTTGGTGTTGATCAATTGTAAGTTAATTGTCCATATGGGTGAAACCAAAAATATGAAAGCAGGGCATGTTTTAGGGTGTGCCTACACGTGATAAAGTCATCACCATGGCAACCTGTCATCCAGAGTAGAAATGAAGCGATTCATATTCACCTTCTTCTCTGAATATACTCACTTCTGGATCAACAAAAAGAAAAGAAAAGAAAAAAGATGGTGGCATCGAAAAGGCTCAACTTGAAGTTCCAAAAACAGAAGTCAAGAGTTCAAAGTAGCTACATCCACTTCCTATTTGCAGTCAGTGAGTTGAACATACAGTAGACTGTCTAAAGAATGGACAGCTCAAGAAAATATTTAGAGCTCCTCTTGCTGACTCGCTGTAGTATAGCTCATAAGCCCCGCCTCCTCCATGTTCATAGATGGAACAAACTTTCAAAAATAAAACATATCAAATCATTTTTTCCTCAAACAGCGTTTCTATCATGATAGTTCTTAGACTGATTTACTTGTATATCCAAGTGTTCCTCTTGTCAAAGAAGTGTGCTTTTAATTAGGTATTTGAGATGTTGTGCCATAATTGACAGCTCTGTTTAATATTCAGCTCCCCAAATTACGAGGTTGGAGGAGGAACAGCAAGAGAAAACACAACGCAAACTAAAACAAGAGGCATTGAACTTTCCGTATCAGTGAGTGTCTGCTTCAAAACTGACACAAGAATCTGTTCTTCTGATGAAGTTACTGTAAATGTATGCTTCAGTAAGCAGAAGATGCAGGATGTCAAAACCACAGCTCCACGAGCCAGTTCCCTTCTGCTCACGTCTTGTCTTCAAAATGCCGTCACCAGTGCAATATGTCAGCGCTCGTCACTTTGGCTTCAATTTTGTACAACAGAAGTAGATGTGTTGCCCATATTTATGCTTATGGTTGCACACCTTAAATCTGACTCTTTTTTTCCCTTTAATTGAGCCATTTGAGTATCAATTTTGAGGGATATCATAATCAGTCAAGATTCTTTTGAAGCAGTCATTATAACTTGAAAAAGGCCTTTAAGTTCACTTTTCAATGTTATTCCACCTTTATGTTTGCCTTGTGTGTGTGTGTGACAGAGAGAAGCGGAAGAGAGGGCCAGACGTTGGTTGATTCTCTGGGTGTTTCCATGGTGATAAAACAGGATGTGGTCAGTGACCTTCTGCCAAGACAAGCATGGGCCTAACCAACGTGTTTACCTGAAAACCACTGACTGCCTGTAAGAGTCTGCCGGTCTGTCTGTCTCCGTCTTCTTTACTCTACCTCACTCCTTCAAATCACAAGCAGGAAATACTTGCTGATGAAAGGAAAACAACACGTTCCTCATTACAACCTGATCTAATTTGCAACCATGACATTATGACAGCAGAGACTTTGCAGCTGCATCGGAAATCACCATGGAAACCAATTCTGCCTCAATAAAGAAAAGTCCTATGAGCCAGACACCAAAGGTTATGGTTGCTCTGCCTAACTTTTTTGAATAACCATGTCAAAATAATCTACCACTCCCTTTTTCAAATACAGCGTGCATCGTTTTCTTTTGTCTTTTAAACGGAAACCATCTTAGCAGAGACGGGAAAGTGTATGTGGGGCAAAAACAATGATCCATCACAACGGATACAAAAACAAATGCATGTCCTCGCTTCCTTTTTCCTGCACGTGTGTGTGTGTGTCAAGCGATGGACACACTGTAGTGCTGTCTGTTATCTAAATGAGGACTTCCTGTCATTCAGCTTCAGGGGCGTCTTCCTGGAGAAAGGCCATCCCTCCTGTGAGAGGTATGGCTTTCCTGTCACTGGGAACCAACAGGATCACACACACATGTGCTCACACACACACACACACACACACACACACACACTTATTTTTGTATTAGGTAAGTTTCTAATTGTTATCACTAGGCGGATGCAAGGGTTGTCTTCTAAGAGCAACATCTGCGTCCACACCGACACACACACACCATACACACACACACACACACACACACACACACACACACACACACACACACACACACACAGTTCAACAACAACATTTGGATAATGCATCTACGTCCTGATGTCATTCATTTGATGTAATGTTTTACTCTAACAAAATGTGGACTGAAATCAAAAAGAAAAAGGACATTTTGATTGAAGTCATTAAGAATAACGCAGTCTGAACTGCAGTATAACACCTCAAAGAGACAATCTGAACTCTCTCTCACACATTTTGTAAGTTTAGTTGACAAGAAATACAGTAACCCAATCCCCCTCCTCGGATATGAATCAATCAGATAGAAAGTGCAGTGTACTTTCGATACTCCGCATGTCAAATCCAATAGAAAAACAAACCAACATTTAGGTGTGCATGACTGTAAATTCATTTTCTATGAACAATTGTTCTCATTTTTGCAATATGTGCATGTGTATTAAGAGGGTAAAGAGGTTCTGCTGGAACTCAAACGAACTCTTTGTTTTGTTCCAGTGACTCATTTTCAAGATGTTGTCTGCTGCCAGCTTCAATCCGGAAGCGCATGGCAATTAGTCTACGAGGTCCAGACAAACCAGAAAGTCTACTACTGGATATTTAAAGGAGCCGCAAATCATTTTTTCCACTGCAGCCGGTCCACTAACCTCTTTTCATTCTTTCTTTTTCAAAAGGATCCGGACAAAACTGGACAAAACTATACGCGCAGTGTTTGCACCAATGCCATGAACGCACAAAGCTCGAATAGCTTTTACGCGCAGGTTTAACACTTTACGCGCTGCTTCAATGTAGTTTTGAAGTTATGGTGTATTTGAACTTGCTCATGATTGAGAAAATACAACAATTGCAAATGTTTATACGCTACTGCTTCTCTGTTAAGCACGAATTCCTTTTGATAGTTGTAAGTTGAAGGTAAACTTGCACCTACCCAGCTGTGGATGTAACTGCTCCGATGTCCGTCTGTCCTGCCTGATGTTTCTGATTGCGCCTTAAAGCTGTGTGTGTGTGTATCTATGGAACCCCATGCTGCTGCTGCTGCTGCTGCTGCTGCTGCTGCTGCTGTCTGAAAGCGGATCCGCAGCTTTTCTCTGTCCTGCCTCAGAGCAGGAAGTCGGGACGCTCAGACGGAGAACCGGCGCACTTCCTTTGGTGCTGTATTCCCGTCTGTGTAAACACACACACACACACACACACACACACACGCACACACACGCACACACACACACACACACACACACACACACACACACACACACGCACACACGCAAACACGCGCACACGCACACACACACGCACACACACACACACACACACACACACACACACACACAATCTCTATTTCCCATAAACACACTCCCTCTTCAACCACTCACTCGCACACGCACAAAGATACTTTTTTCAGAACTGCACACACACACACCTTTAATTACACTAGGTCTCTCTCTCTCTCTCTCTCTCTCACACACACACGCACGAACACACACACACACCAATATTAGAATTCCGACAACACTCAGCAGTGAGCCAACTGACAACTGACGTCATTCTGTTCCTGTTCACCGGGAGGGTTCCTGTTCCTGTACAACACACACACACACACACACACACACACTCACTCACGCACACAGATATAGGTCAAGTTTGGGTCTTTCATTACACTGCTCTGACAGCTAAAGAGCAGCAAAACTACAATATACTGTATAGATTTAAAATTCAATTGAACGTATTTTTTTTACCCCCCCACCCCCTTCTCCCCCCCCCGCTTCTCCCCCCCCCTCTTTTTCCCTCCACCCTTTTTAAATGTCTCTCTGGTTTTGCTGCCTATTGTTCCTACCCGATCAGACAGTTATCTTTCTTTTTTCAAGTAAAAACATTTAATTGGCTGCAAGATAAAGAATAGATATGATTGAAAATTCTGGTTTATTTTGTTCTGTGGAGTGAGCATCAGTAGACCTACCGCAGTAAGTTTTGTAGTGAAGGCACTTTCAAAGATTGTCTATATTTAAGACGATGAACCAAACAACGGTAAAAATGTGTCACCCATCGTCACTTCTGCAAATCTCTATCTCCAAAACCTTTTGCAAGAGTAAAATCTGCTGACCAATGACGCACATGACCTCACCTTCAACTTTTATCCCAATGTGACAGACATAGCAAAAATAATAATTACATTTGAACAGTTATTAGGTATACCATGGTGTTGAGTTTTGTAGCAGAGATGGCAGTACATGATAAAGATAAAGATAAGATAAAGATAAACTTTATTGATCCCCCATGGGAGAAATTTTTGCGTTACAACAGCTCAAGAAAACAGGAAACAGGAATATAATTATTAAAAATAACAAGAAGTTAAAAATCAAACATATTTACATCAGTTGAATAAAGGGAGAAAAAAATACAATAATAGAATAATACAAAGTATGTACACTTCCACTTGTGGAAAGAGTTATTGTTATTAAAAACACACACAGCATGTAGCATTATTGTTATGAGCGGTGATGCTGTTAAAGAGTCTGATTAAACAGTCTGACGGCAGATGGGATGAACGACCTGCGGTAGCTTCTCTGTCTTGCAGGGTGGGTGTCTCAGTCTGCTGCTGAAGGAGCTGCTCAGGCCCCCCACAGTGTCATGCAGGGGGTGAGAGGGGTTGCAACACAGATCAGTGTCTTTACTGATTGATATGGACTGTGTTGTGGACACAAGCCAGTGTTTCATCCAACTATGTACCATGGACCATCCTGAGTATTTGTGCATGTAGATGTGGGCTCAAAGGCCGTGTCAGCATGTGATGTTTTCTTGATATCTAAGTTGAAGGAAAACATTGCATATTTTAACTCATACTCAGCAATTTGTGGTCCCTGAAAAAGGTCATTTAAAGCAAGAGACATATTAAAATGAAATGGTCAGAGTGTATGCAACGTGAACATACTTGTGCACGTTGTCACACAGGCTTTTTCTAAATGTGTAACTCCCTTTTTTTCTCCCTTGTTGATATGATCAGAGACATATTCCAAATGTCCAAAGAGCTTACCTCAGAGCCATGGAAAGATAACACAACTGTATGAACTATAATCCCCACCGCTTCTTTAATAGGAAGTTCATGTGTAAAAACAGTTGAAGACACAGCTTCCGCTGCCTGTTTTAAATATTATCAAATGAATGACAAAAAAAAGAGTACGATATATAAAAAAAGTGCTCTCCCTCTCTTTTCAAATTTATCATTAAGGGTCACTCATGGAAGAACAAGAATATTGAATAAGCTAATTAATAACTACTTAAAATAAAATTACATTAAATGTTTTGTTTTGAAATCAGTTGATTGCTAGCCTATATAAATATATAAAATATATTAAGAAGAAATTAAAGATTTGATAATGAATTGTTCTATATAAAGAGGAATGTCGTTCACTGACGTTCAGCCAAGTCTTGATACCCGATAAACCCGTCGGAGTGAGTCCTCTTTCTTCTTGTCAATCTTTGGACAGATTTCCGGATGTTCGCCCCGCCCCCTTTTTTAAAACGTCAACAGCGCCAAACTCGGGGTTCCCAAACGGGAAGATGAGCATTGAAGCCGAGGGGCCACAATGGAGGAAAATAAATTCGGTTGCAGGAGTGATACCTCGGTCCAGACATGGACACCGAGCAGCGGCAATACGGGAGCTGGTTATTGTGTTCGGGGGAGGAAACGAAGGGATATCAGAGCAGCTCCATGTTTACAACACTGGTAAGCTAACGTTAGCTGCATGCTAACTAGCAGGTAGCGGCTAATGTTTTTAGCATCTCCAGGATTTAGAAACACAACTCCAACCAACGCATCCTTTACCTTGACCCTTAATATTTGTATTTGAATGGTTCTTGGTTATCTTCGCATCATTATAGTCGTTATATTTTTATTTTTAATTTCCAAGAAGTGAATAATTTGAGCTGAATATCGTTACTACAGTTAGCTCATGTTGGCTACTTTGTTGTACTCACATTAATTCAGCTGTGATATAAACTGTTGTGTTCACTGGTTGGATAAAGATTAAAGGGACAAGACGTGTGACTGTAATGTCCTATTTATTTGACATGTTAATTAAAAACTTTATTGTACAAAGTCATAAACATGTTGATTATTTTGATCTTTAAATGTTATTTGAGAGCTTCGTGCAGTTATGTTTAGTTTATGTCTCAATAGTTAAATTCACCAAAACTGAGCAGACGAGTTTAATCTATTTAAAAAACATCTTTGTAGGAGGTCTGGAGGTCTCACCCAGAACATCTTTAGTAACAGAAATGTCTTTCCCTCAATTTGATCAACATTTATGCACAAAATTTGAAGGTTTTCCTCACCACTTTGAAATTATGATTTAGTTATGTGTCCTCTTTTTATGTTCATCAGGAACACGATGCATTCATTTAAAAACATGTAGACTTCGAGTTCTTGTGTTTCTGTTCTATTTCAGCCCTGCAGAGTTCCTCCAGCTGGAGCTTCATACAGGCTCTGCAGCATTTGTTGTTTTTTATGACATCATTGGACTAACTTTAGTTTAGTTTATATATAATCAAACATAATACAGGATGTGTCCATTCTGTGACACATGATCAAAGTAAGTTTTACTGACAGAAGAGTTTAATTCATAGAGGGGGCGGGACATCGTTGATTGACAGACAGACAGTCTCCATGGTTACTCACTCTCACCTGCCTGCTGCTTTGTAACATCATTTAGTGTAATCCCTATAAATTCAGTTATCACAACAGGTGAGCTTTGGGTGGAGAAGCTTGATAGTAAACTTTTAAAAACTGAGAGAGAGCAGAAAACACTGACAGCAACATTTTAAACACCGGGGTTATATCTCCCATCACTGTCTGTCTGAGCTCCTCTCTGTCTGTCTCTCTGCAGACTGTTAACGTCTCTCCGACTCGTTAAACGGTTTCTTGTGTCGCTATCTGAGATGTAATCTTAACTGTGCAAACTATGCAGATAAATTAACTGTCGCTCACGCCGTGTCGGTTTGGAAAAATATCAGAACAGTTGCATATAACCGGGATGGAGTTGTTTTTGCGGACTTTACTTTTTAGTTTCGTTTTCGTTTTCACCGCTGCAGAGCAAAAGAGGAGGAGACACGTCTGTGTAGGAGCATAAACTGCAGCATGATAGAATAAACACATTAGTCCGGTTCTACGATCTCTCTGCTTTGGCAGATCGTCAGCACGCTAAAATCCTTCACGATCTAAGATCGTTATCTCGCCCACCACTATTTGCACATTTTATTTTTAAGCTGTGTACAAAAACTCAAAGACAGCTTTCACCTGTTTCTTCTGTCTTGTGCAAAGCTCAAATCTGACCATTCTTCCAGTTTCAAAGCAGTGGTTCCTTCCGGCTGTGAGGGGGGACATCCCGCCCGGCTGTGCTGCTCATGGTTTCGTCTGTGAAGGCACCAGAGTGCTGGTCTTTGGGGGCATGGTTGAGTTTGGGAAATACACAAACAGCCTTTATGAGCTTCAGGTAACACCTGCTGTCACATTTCTTCAATAGTGATTCCAATCATGTCGGTGTCATAAATACAATTTTCCAATGTTTACTTTGGTCCTGTGTGGCTCAGGCTAGTCGCTGGCTGTGGAAGAAACTGAAGCCCAGAGCGCCAAAGAATGGCTCGCTTCCTTGTCCACGGATTGGACACAGTTTCACTCTTCTGGGAAACAAATGCTACCTATTTGGAGGGCTGGTTAATGATAGTGAAGACCCCAACGGCAATGTACCAAGGTAATGTGCAAAAAAAGATATGACAGTGACAAGTGAAGAGCTTTTCAAAGAGGCATACAAGCAGCAAAACAAGTTGTATTTGTTGTGGAAATATTTAGATTTGATTTATATTGTTTAAATAAAAAACAAAACCCACATCAGCCGAGAAAGTGCTCGGGATTTTTCACTTTAATCTAAGTGAAAATCCACAATTCTAAATGAAACTTTATCTGCTAACCAGCATGGGTATTGTGGATATAAACGCTCTGTCAAAGAATGGATTCATGAATGTGTTTAACTCCCCCTCAGATACATGGACGACTTCTATGAGCTGGAGCTACAGTCTGTTTCAGGGGCACGAGGATGGAGCATCCCAGAGACAAAGGGGGGTGGTCCCTCAGCTCGGGAATCTCACACCTCGGTTGCCTACACTGGACTCGGCTCCTCGAAGTTATACATCTTCGGAGGGATGCAGGGATCCCGGTTGGATGATCTCTGG